AAAAATTTAAATGCATTAAAAAATCGAAGAATATAAATAAGAAAAGAAAACTTCAACTTAATATAAAAAAAATATTAATCAAGAGTTATATAAGGTTATAGATTCAAATCTTAATGTCATCATTTATAAAAAAAAAAAAAAATAGGAAAAAATGTGTATCATTTTAAAGGATACAAAGTTGTGTCATTTTAAGTGAGAGAAAGAGATAGATCATTAGAGAGAAAGAGAGAGTGGAAGAAAAAAGTTTTAAAGATATGGGTCTCACCTCTTTGTGAGAGTAAAATGATGTAAGATATGAGTTTCTTAATTTAAGAGGTTGGATTGATTCTTTAAGGGGTTATGCGGACATAGGACAAAGGGATAGGAAATTTAAGGGGTTTTCACTTAATAGATTTAAGTTTTGGGGTTGAATTATTTCTTTATATAGTATCAGAGTCTCGGTATTACAGGTTCGATCCTCACCGCCCCCCACTTTCTCTTGTGGAATTTCTTAGCACAGATAGATGAGTCTGTACATTATCTACCCTTCAAGCCCAATGAGCTCTCATTTGAAGGAACGTGTTAGAAAATAATATAAACTATTAAAAAGACTTTCACTTAATAAATTTTTTGCGTTTTTGCGTGAATTGAATTGATTGTTTACAATAATGATATCTCTAAAGCATTTTGAGCACAGGTTGACTATCAAAAACTTACAATTCTTCCCACTTGCTACAATATGTGATAATCACTTGTACTCTGGCTGATTCTTGACCCCATTTATATCTCTCCAGTACAATTTCCATTATTTTCCCCCAAAAGTCTGTGTAATAGTTAGATGGATTAGCTTCAAATCAAAAATTTCCCAAGAGATATGCATTGTAAAGTCAAGTGCAAACTTATATGATGCAACCCACGTCCGTTTTACATATAGAGTCTATGTAGATGGAATTATTAATACATAGGACAAAGTGATAAGTAAGTACTAGGGGAGTGGAATTTTGGGTATACTTCTCAATTTGTGATTGGTGGTTAGTAGAAAGCATTGCCAACCTTATGCTTCATACTTATTTGAAGTGGGTCATACAAATTTGCATTGACTTCATCCCTCACCTCTCCTTCTCTAGTGGGTTTGTTGGCCACACCTCCACAGGATCTATACAGCTTTCTTTGCCATTGAGCCCTCATAAGGTCATATCATGAGTGAAAGATGCTTTGCTTTGTTTTGCTTTTATATCATCACAAGAGACAAAATACTAAATAAAATTGAGAGAGACAGAGAAAGAGAGAGGATAACTACAGAAGAAAAAAGAGAATTAAAAAAATACCAGGAATCAAAGTGAATAATCCCAAGCTACAAAACAGTGCATTTTATTCTTTTTTCCAAACTTTCTGAAAATATGTATATACGCCCTTTCCTTTACAATCTTAGCTGTAGTTAATTCATAACTTGCTCATGTTATGTATATTTTTTTAAAGCTTTTGAAATATTATATATATAGAGAGAGGGTACAATCCTTTGACATTGATGTCAAATTTGAAATTTGGCACCTCATCTAAGAGTCATTAGATCAAAAAAGATAAATAGTGTCACATGCTTACAAATCAGAGTAGTTGATCTTTTTTGATCTAATGGCTCTCAGATGAGGTGTCAAATTTGGTGTCAAATGATCATATCTCATATATATATAAAAAGGATATTCTTACCTATATAAGAATAAGAAATCTTATACAAAATCTTAATCATTCGTTTGCTTGCATAACGGCTCAAATTTACAATAAATCAGAACCGTTACATATAAATAGGATAAACGATTAAGATTTAGAGCGTAAGTTATACCAATATAAAATAATCTTGAGTCTTTACCCATATTATATATATATATATATATATATATATATATATATATATATATCAATGGAACCCTAACATGAAGTAAAGTAAAGCATGAACTTTATTGAGCCAAACCAGCTACATATATTCATAGCAGATATTGATACTTTCAGCAACCCATGCAAAACCCTAACATGAATAGTGTTTGTCATTGAAAATTAGCAATTCACAAGTTTCCACTCTATATTTAATTATTAGGTTCAGATCACGATCCAATCATTGATTAAAGCTATAACTTTCCCGGTTAAATTTTCAAGTTAGGCATAAATACCCTCTTTCTACGGCCATTGCATACACCGAAGGCTTGTTCATGCATATAACCAAGCAAAATCTATCATTTTTTTTATCTTGAGCTCAATGCCCGTGGAATAAGAGGATTCCCTTCACATGTGTGTCATATTCTATTATTTAACAAAGTAAAAGGAAAGCATATTTCTTCGGAAATGATTATAGCTTCATTACCACTTAATTTATTATAATGAAAAGCCAAAGTTCAAGGATGAGTAATTGATTAAAAAAAACATAATGCAGACCCAGGCAATTTGCATTTGGGTGCTAATCAATTTTGAACATCATTTTATCTAGGCCACTCTAATTCCCATTATCCCATACAATAATTAGTTCCATATTCCTACACAGGAGAATACAATTACTTAGGTCTCAGAGAATAACTAACTCCTTACTCCTGTTCATTATTTAAATTGAAAATGATATAAAGGCAAAATAATATACAGCTATCATTTTCCTTTCCATTGCAATTCTGTTCGTCTTCAACAAAAATTGAAATAATGGTTCCATTATGTCAAGCATTATAGAGAAAAGAAATCCATTGTTTCTGTTACCAAACCAAATAATACATACGGATTAAGCAATAATTCACCACAATAAATAGGTTCAACATATTTTAATCTAAAATCTTAAAGAATTATATTTATTAGTCCTCACACTTGTATGGTCTTCATTTAACACATTATGAACCAATGTGAGATTCTATCACACTTGAATATCCCAACAATATGAAGTACCTGGAATTTAACTAAAGCTTCTTCTCAGAAAATTCATTTTGCAAGTTGTGTGTAAGACATGAACTTGAGGCATAAAAGTACAAGCTTAAATGTCACTACTAGTAAATCTACGTAGGGATCCCTTTCCACATCCCATATTGCGCCTCAATCAATTGTCAACCTAATAATCTAAATACGTTTGCATTGCCACATTAACTGATTCTATATGAGGTTTTTCTTGGATTTTCCATCATTGTCCTTTTATTGTAGACCTCATCTTAGTCATATTCTTCTATTTTAAACCAATTTCCATCTTTTGGGCATATGACAGAGATAGAACGAGTTGCATTACAACGCATTTCAGACTTTTGTCTTCCTTATTGTGGTTCTTATTAGTTAGGTGTCACTGTCAAAGAAGATTTGCAAGTGTCTAGTACTATAGTAAACCTAACGAAATAGCCACCAGTTTGCACATGCACCGAGCACACTTGAAGAGAAATTAAGGCTATATATCCATAGGACTATGGGGGGGGGGGGAATGTCTGAGTTACTTATTTTTTAACACAAAAAGTACATAATACAAACTGAGTAGATAAAAACAAACTCTAATTATAGAATGGTTCTCCAAATTAAATGGCTAATACTCATTGGACTTAGGAGCCGATTCTGATGCCGGATTTGGTGGTTACACTGCCACTCGCATTGGAACATAAAACAATCATTGTCCTACTTCCCGAGGCCTAGCATATCCCAAGAGACCACTGATTGTGGGGGCAACGTTTGTGTTTCAAGGGGGGTTGCCCCTTGCATTGCATGTATATATCAAGTATTTGCAAAAGACAATCCTACTCGATCAAGGATCTAGAAGTAGCAACTTTGAGTGTGTGACCACAAAACTTATTGTGAAAATATGTTGGAATCTTTCTATGGTTTGCATTTCAATACATTATCATAAAGGACATTATTGGTCTCTTATTGGGGGCTAAAGAATGATCACTGACTAGCCAGAGAATCAGTGAGAAGGAATTCATGAGAATCAAATTTACTGACCAATAAAGATTTAGAACGTAAGGAGCTTCACGATATTAAATGCAGCATGGGATAACTTCTGAGACTAGCAATAATACATAAGTAAAAGATGAAATACTTTCTGACGCAAAAGCAGACAATGCTTATGCAATAATATTCCCATTCAGGTACGCTGACATGGACAGCATATGTGCACATAATTTGCCTTACTCTTTCTCTCATCCTTTGTTACCAGTCACCACACATAAAGGGTGGGGCCAATTCAGATTCATTCACATAAATTCCCCGTCGAGGCACGCACGCGGACGCTCACATACCACATGTTACTCTAATACATATTCCAAGTGTCCATATTCCAATTGGTTTTGTTTGGCCCCTATATGAATATGATAGCCATAGAAAGATTAAACATCTTTTGATGATAATGTTATTGATTATCACGAAACCAAAGATAGGGTAAAAGGGATTCCAAATTCTGTGTTCCCATAGCCAAAGCACAATTTTTATCAGTAAGAAGTGCTCATCGGCTTTATACCATACGATCATAAATTATAATGAGGATTTTTCATCAGTGCGTTCGCAACCTCTACTTTTCAGACAACCACTGTTACTTTGACTATTGTTTTTGGAGCAGCTGATTTCCTCAACGGTTTTGCTCTTTCATTGCGTCCCCCATGTTTTATATTGACCCCATTCAACCTCATAATTATTCACGTTGAAGCCAGAGCTTCTGATAAAAACTCATGAAAACTAAGCAAAAGTGCTAAGCACATAGGTGGGTATAAGCTCTTCCTCCATAAAGAACTATTTTAGTTCAGCAGAGTTCTACACTTCTGGACCACAAAGGAAAGGTCATATATAACTAGAATCTCTTAATTGATATTTTTTTTAATTGAACTCTCTGGTCATAATCATACAGTTAAAATATCCTTCATGTATCTATATCCAACACTTTCAGTTTTTAAGATGGGGTTCTAAGGAATTTCTTTTAGGACTATTCGGAAAACTCTAGAGTTGAAATGATAGATTGAACCATAAAAATAATTTAGTAGTCTTTGTTTAATCCCCGTCGAAAACGAAATTAAAGTGAACAAACACTAAAAACATTCAGCAGATGATAGACAGCTAATAAATGTATTCAGCGACAACTCTTCTATTAGTTGAATCATTAAGTAAGAAGGTGGATAATTCATTCATGTCATTCATATAAACGTACATCAACATCACAATTATAATGGGTTTCTGTTCACGTCTTTGTACAGAAGATACCGTGTTCGAGTTTTCCCTAGGGCAGCATACCTGAAGATAGCAGCACATGTATTAGGACACATGTTTGTAAGACTAAATGAAAAGTAACATATAACGTAATAATGTATCATAAGTAATGTACTTATATACTCGGATTGTGCGTTTTTTTTTTAAAGAAGAGAGGGGGAGTAGTTTTATGCAATTTACCATTGTGGGACGAAGGGTGCCATCCAAATGACATCACCCGCCTGAACCGGGTACCTATTCACAGAAAAACCAACAAAAACTACAATAAAAAAACATATCATAGATGTAAAGTGCCACCTTTCAATGATCACAATGAACACAGTATCCTGCATGGAAAGACCGTGAACAATGTATTCCATCCAAAACTCACTGAAGAACACAGCCCAAAATCTAACCCCAAAATTTGTGGACACTGCATGAAGTTATATACCACTTGTGAGACTTTAACAAAAAGAATTTGCAATGCTCTCCACCAAGATGCACATTCATTCATAACTGACCAGGTAAGTTCAATAGCTCTAACACCATTAGTAGCCAATATGGGGCCAACATCCCAAATCCAACCCAAAAACTCAAGCCATCATATAGACATGACCCAAAGTCATAGATTTGGTATATATCAGTCATACCACTTCCTCATAGGCCAGGTGAAACTTTCACTTTCAATGTACTAGTACCCATATAGTTTAATGGAAGCAAAGAATGCCACCATCTTGAACTCCATGCAACATCTAGGCTAATTTTTTTTTTAGTTCAGGTCTATAACTCTTACCAACTATCACCCAAACGATAAATGCCTTGCCCTTCCAATAGCAGTAAACCATGCTGGTTATAATGGACCTCCTGTAAAATCCATAAAAATAATTAAAACAAAAGGCCTATAAACTTGCATAGGAAGACAAACTAACTCTCTCAAAGACTCATATATGATTAACTCTTAAGAAATGTATCATAGACATAGATCCTAACATGAAGAAGTAAAAGCCCCTGCTGATATCAGATAAAATTTTATAAAAGCGCAGCTGTATTAAGTATGTGTATTTTTTGATAAGATATATTAAGGATACATATTCATGATGTCATAACATTACATTATTTAGTTTTGAAAGCGATGAAATTGAGATCCATTGTCAAGCGAAAAAGGCTACTCATATAGATTCCATATGTATCTTGATTTAAAATTGTCCAGGTTGTTGCTTTGTACAAGTTTCAATTGTGATATCATAGGGAACAACCTAAATTTTTATTTGATAATTAAAAAAAAGGAACTTGAGATAATAGGTTAAATCAGAATTCTATAATCAGCATTCATGGTCGATAGGGTAGTTGTTGGAGTACAACGCTACAATGTCCCTGGTTCGAATGTTGGTAGATGAAGGAGAAAGAAAAAAAACCAGAATTCTACATTAAATGCATCCCAGTGATAACTGCCTAGCCCAAGACTAACAGTACAACTTAAAATTCCAAATAATTAACAGCAAGTTTAACAAAAAGGTTAAATTGTAAGTTAAAGTATGGAACAGGATCTTCATATATGTGGTTTTGTCATTAAGGATGTTTGCATGATTAGATTATTAAATTATACAATAGTTAAATGCCATTTTATGAATAGTTTAGAAGTACAAAAGGAGATGTAATTTTTCAGCACATCCTCATTCTAATACGATCCATATGCTTAATGCAGCTGTAAGGCATACATACGTAACATATCCATATCGCTACTTTACAGTAAAAGCAACAGAAGATTACCTTTACATTGAGAAATTCTCCAGGTTGAAAATCCATAATCTGCAGGCATGGGTACATCAGTTACATATAACTAAAATTAACCAGAAACCATAGCAGAGCAAAATTGGATAAACGCAACTAATAAGACTTTGCCAAAAGAATAGGAACCGAAGTACATTACAGATTTGAGCTTACATGGATATTGAAGTCATATGCCAAAGATGTAGGAAGGAGCTTCCGCAGTTCAAAAACCTAATAATGGGTACCAAAAGGAGTAAAAAATGAACGTGTACATACGCACAATGACATCAATGATAAGAAACGACCTGAACCCAAAGCATGTAAGAATTGCTTCCGACAATGAGTAATGACATTAATATTTGTAAAAGTGGCACAAATGCTTTTTAATGAACTATCATCTTAAATTGAAAAATATAATGGTAGAGTTTGCAACAAAGAGGAGAAAAGGATAAACATAACATAATGCCTTTGAAAATATTGGAGTCAACAACTTACCTCGCCAGGAGTTTCAAGGAGTGGCTGCTTATCTGTTGAATTAACCACAGGCTCTGAGACGTGATTTTGTAGCGGAACATATCTAATAGGTTATAGACATTTTTGGTACATAAGTCATTAGAGTACTCATGTGATTGCTAACTATTCGAATGCACGCAACAAAAATATGATATGTAATCCTTGAAAACTGCACCAACTAATGTTGTGACTACTTGTCAAAGAATCTTGAAATATAAAATGGGTTCCTCAATCCATTTTCAATACAATTAATTGCATGAATTCTCATAAAGGTAAGGTCAAGACGATGAAACGTATATTTATATAGGGGGAAGTACAACGTACAAACCTTCGTTCAAAGATCACAATAGTAGCAGATGCATCACACTCAATTGAATGTTCAAAATTTGGAGGAAAATAAGCATACGAATCCACCTGGAATTGAAAGCATGGTATCAAAAATTTTATAGCCTTTATTAAAAAAAATGAAATATCAAGTCATTTTCCTATCAAAGTAGGTTTGCAACAAGTTTCTATTTTGAGTCCTTATCATTTTGCCCTAGTTATGAATGAGTTAACACAAGATATCCAAAACAAGATGTCAGTGTGTATGCTATTTGCAAATGATATTGTGCTTATTGATGCAACCAAATAGTGGTGCTTATTGATGAGACCACGGGTGGTGTTAGCCATAAATTAGAATTGTGGAGAAGCAAATTGAAGTCTAAAAAATTTACATTAAGTTAGAGTAAGACTGAGTATATGAAATGTGAATTTGTTACGACAAGTGGAGATCAAAATTTCGTGCATCCGCGAGGACAGAAGGTACCCGTGAAAGATGCTTTTAGATATCTTGGATCAATATTGTAAAAAGAGGGAGAGATTTATGAGGATGTATACCATAGAATCAGAGCAGGTTGGATAAAATGGCACAGTGCATCACGATTTTTGAGTGATCGCAAAATCCCTCTTAGGCTAAAAAGGAAATTTTATAAAACAACAGTAAGGCCTACAATATTATACGAAGTTGAATGTTAACCAACACATAAGCAACATAAGTATAAAATGAGAGTAGCAGAAATGAGGATGTTAAGGATGTGTGGTCATACAAGGTTAGATAAGATAAGAAATGAAGATATTCGACGAAAGGTAGGAGTAGTACCAGTGGTTGAAAAGATAAGAGAACAAAGATTGAGAAGGTTTAGGCATATTATTTCTAAGACCCATAAATGCTCCCGTAAGAACAAAAAATTGTTACCGAGAGTGTGATACAAACGAGGAAGAGGTCAGCCGAAATTTACTTGGGAGAAAGTAGTAAAACAAGACTTAATGGAGAGGAAAATAAATTGGCCTACGGTGTGTCCTTGGACAAAGTGGAGGAAAGATATTAGCATTATAGAGGGATAGACCCACTTTTCCTATGTTTTAAGCGGTCCTTTTTAGTCATTTTTCCTACATTATTTATTTATTTATCTTTCTCTCTTATTCACTTTTTCTCTCTTATCTATTTTTTCTCTCATTTATTTTTCTCTCTTAACTATTTATCTTTTCCCTAAGTCTTTTGTTGCTTTTTATTCGGTTCATCAACCGTCCACCCCAACTAATTTGGAATAAATGTAATGTTGACGTTGTTACTAAAGAAATGGTGATCATCAAAAAAAAAATTGAATAATGTTATACAAACTAGTAGCCAAAAAAGAGCATGAAAGACCCCACAACTATTTCCACCGATCTTGATTGCATTCTATGCTGCAAATAGCTACGCAGTGTGAAAATAGTGTAAGGTTAGTTATAAGCATCACACTAATTTCTGTACTTCCTTATATAACATGAAAACAAGAGGGTTCGACAAAGGACCCAGTAATGCATTATAATCTCAATGCTAAAAATTTGAGAAAAAGCTGTTAATCAATTTGTGCCTTCATTCCTTCCCTTTTTCCTTTTGTCACGCAATTTTCCTATCATCTTAACTATTAATGCATAAAACTTCTCTGGCAACAAAAGATTGTAATAGCATAAAATTAAATAAAAACACTCCCCATTGTAGTATCATGGTATAAGTAAATAAAATTTTGAAGCCACATCAATCATTGTTGATTTTTATGTAAAAACATTTCAAGGATTGTATTTTGTTAGAGAGGAATCTCGGAATTATTCTCCACGGTGAAAACATTGTTAAATAATCTGAATTCCCTCTGGGGTATCTTATCTGATTTATCTTGAATTTAAGCCCAATTTAAATGAGTCTGGAATCTGTTACTCTATAAATCAAACACTAATAATATTGAACCTAACCTACCACTGAGATTAAATAATGAGCTGGATCATGGAAAAATGTGACCAAAAAAATTAGCTAAAACAATAATAAGAAAATGTCGTTCATATTCCCAGAAACTAACATGATTAATTCAGCACTTCTTCCACAAGTATAATTGTACAAATAATAATAAGAGGAAATGATATATGAAAGCTTTTTCTCCTGAAACAGTATCCCACTTATTTTTGCATTGTGAGATGGCTGCTGGTGAACACTGGGTGCATCATTCCACATTGGAGCAGTTTCTTATGATATGTCTCAAAGGGTGCAACTGGAATTAGGAGGCCACAAGTTTATGGCAATGTGTGGCATATGCAGCTCTCTAGTGTATTTGGCAGTAAAGGAATGCCCATGTTTTTCAAGGGAGTCTCTTTGCCCTTAAATTTGTTACAAGACAAGATTGTGTTTAGAGCTTCTCTTTGGTGAGCTTTGCTCACGGTTGTTTCAGGGGAACTGCCATTACTGATATGGAAAGAGATTGAAAGATTTGTTTCATTTTTTAGCCAATTTGGTTCTCTGTTGTCTTCAACTGTTTCTTTTAAGGAGGATATCTTACTGTCCCCTTGATATTTTTTTCTTTCTAACAATATTTTCTTCTATTACTAAAAAAAGGAGCTATTACTATTTTTAAAAGCACATCAACCAAACCTGATATTTATATAATAATTATTGGGGCATCAACATTAAAAGTAGTCAAAATTAGCGATCATACTGACAGAATAGCTTCATTTACATAACAATCATAAACTTAGTACCTTCAGTATATGGCTAACGCCAGAAACATTAGTGAGTGTAACAGCACCTTCGAGCACAAAGATTAATCTAGTAGGATACCAAACATGCATTTAGAGCCAGAAAACAATGTGAAATGGTTTGGGTGTAATGGAAATGGAATTGCGGAGGAGGAGAATTTAGAAATTTGAAAAGCTGAAATAACAAGTTCACAACCTCTCCACATCGTGCAGGGGTAGTCCTGATCTTGAATTCTCTGCAAAAGGGGCAAAGCATAAATCAGAAGCATACTAGAAGAGGTTTTTACTGAATTGGGAACTATATCATTAAGTTTCAAGCAATGGGAGTTATTCGGCTATCCATGATACATCCAGACCCTTTACCGTGAGGCCAAAGTATATGTTAGAAGCAATAAACATGGGCCCAAAGAGCCAAGTGGGCAGTCTCTATTAGCTAAAATTGTCAGAGAAGTTGTTCAGAGTTAGTTTGTTAGCCCTCTAACTGCAGTGGCATAGGTAGGATATAAATATAGGGAGAGAATGTAAGTGAAGGCAGTTAGTTAGTTGGTTAGTTTGTCTTGGAGGGACAGACCAGGCTCTCAAATTCTTGAGGAAGTTTCCTTTTGTATGATGATAAACCCTTGGTTTACCATGTTTTTATGCTAAATTCTACAATAATTATATGGTAGATTGCATGGAATCAAGGTGTTATATGATAAAATTATAAAGATTTGAAAATTGAGCTAATGTTTTGATATCTTGCTCATTTTGAAGGTAAATCCACAAGATTTGGTGCTAAGAAGTGATAAAGGAATCATAACAAAGATTTGAAGCCCAATCTGCAAGATCTTAAATAAAAACAGAAACAAATCAAGATTTGATTAGGAATTGATAGAGATTCATGGGGAGATTTGATGAAAAATTAAAAGATATGGATTCAAAGGTTATAAATAGGGAGCTTGGGGTCAATGGAATGAACCAATTCATTGACCAATCCAGAGAATTACACAGAGACTTGAGGGAGGAATCCTGTTGCGGAGCGTTGGAGCACTGAGGAACCAAGTCAACATCACACCAATGGAGGCTTGGGGTTCTCTTTTCTTTATTATTGCTTTTGAATTCAGTATGCTAGGCTAGACTTTTATGTAGTTAAGGGTAGATGGAACCCAATTGAATCGTATGTCTTGAATTAAATTGTTCTTGAATTCTTTTCTTTTTATAATTGAATAAATTTATCTGTCTTTAATGCTTCTATGAGTTTGCTCCTTATAGATTGATTTAGGGGAATTGTATGATAATAGGGATGTTGGTGCATGAACCCTGACTTGGTAAATTTATCATAATCCTTGTGATCTAGGGATAGACATAGGGTAATTGTGCAATCTTTCAATTCTTGATCTAAATGCATGTTTTCTTGGGGAACTAGAGTTCTTTCAAAATCACATAGATTTAGGGTAACAAGGAATTGAGCCCTAATTAACTTAGAAAGAATTGATTGGCATTATATTAAAAACGGATTCTTGACAATTTAATTCATTGCATATAGAGGAGATTGGGGGAAGTCGAAACCTTAACTACGCTTGTTCTTAAATTCTTAATCAATCATCTTTTCAATTGCTTTCTAATTTTGAATTTTAATTTGCATGTTATTAATTGTTTTTAATTTCACTTCTCTTCATCTCATTCTTTGTTGTCCAACTAAATCGTTGTTAGAGAACTAGTGCTTGAAAATCAATCATCGTGGGAACGATCTCGTACTCAGTACACTTTTATGTAGAAAATTAGAATTCAAACATGTTTCCGTTTTTATTTCCTATTAATTAGGATTGATTATGATTGATTAGGATTGATTATGATTGATTAGGATTAATTGTGATTGATTAGAATTGATTGTGATTAGGATTGTGATAGGATTGATTAGTCATCGCTTAGTCATTCTTAGCGATTCTTTCTTGTATAAATACTCACTCATGTAATTTATTCAATATCAATATACAAAAACTTCTTTTCAATATGGTATCAGAGCGGGTTCGTTCCTACCCTAATTCAAATCTGAAATAACCATCCAAACACTTCCATCACCGTCAAACACCTCCTAAACACCGCCTTGAATCTGTCCAACACAGAAACCTAGTTTACTGACCTCCGATCAAAAAAGTGAGGTGACCATTCGACTCAGAAGGATCCGACGAGTCGACCGCCGCTGGACCCATCGCCGTCAGCCGCTGCACGCGCCACCACGCGCCGCCTTCCAGACGTTTTTTTTTTCCGTCGCGACTTGCACAGACCTTCTCGCCGGCTTCTCCCCTTCCTGTTCCAGAGGTCAGATCAAAAGTTTATAAAACTTGATTTTTCATCAACGGTCAACCCTTCTCTTTTTATTCATGGCTTCCTCAAAACACTCTTTTTATTACCACGAGCAACCTCCTAAGGCCACTAGTCATGTGGTCCAGCAAGGTACAACTTTCCATGTTGATAGTCAAAATCATTGGATCCTTGATTCTGGAGCCTCTGATCATATGACAGGTAATCTTGGCTTGTTTTGTTCATACACTCCATATTCTGAACCTTCTCGGGTCAAGATCGCCGATGGCAGTTTTTCCCAGATTGCGGGACACGGAACCATTAAACTTTCTGAGCTGATTACTTTGACATCAGTTCTTTATGTTCCTTCTCTGACTTGTAATCTCATTTCCATTAGCAAGCTCACCTCTGAGTTGCATTGCTTTGCTAAATTCTTTCCACATGGTTGTGTTTTTCAGGAACAGGACTCGGAGAGGATGATTGGCAGTGCTAGAGAGGATGGTGGACTTTACTACTTTGAGGAGGATGTGACTCATGAAGCTGTTTTCGTAGAAAAAAACTCTATGTTTCCTTTTGATTCATGTAATGATGTTATGCTGTGGCATCGTAGGCTAGGCCATCCAAATTTTATTTATCTTCAGAAGTTGTTGCCAAACTTATTTATTAATAAAAGTCCAAGTTTGTTTTCTTGTGATATTTGTCAACTTGCCAAGCATACTCGTGCTCATTATCCTTCTAAAGTTCACCATGACTCTTCCCCATTTTCCTTAATTCATAGCGACATATGGGGTCCAGCCCGTGTTAAAAATATTTCAGGTACTCGATGGTTCATTACCTTCATTGATGACCATTCTCGAGTTTGTTGGGTGTATCTTCTAAAGGATAAGTCCGATGCTGCATCCGTGTTTAAAAAATTTCATGCCATGGTTCAAACCCAATTCTAAGTTGCTATACAAATTCTTCGTACAGATAATGGCAAAGAGTATTTTAACTCTATTCTTGGAGAATATCTTTCCCAATATGGCATCCTTCACCAAAGCTCGTGTCCTGACACACCCCAACAAAACGGAGTTGCGGAAAGAAAAAACCGACATCTCCTTGAAGTTGCTCGGGCTCTTATGTTTACCACGAGTGTTCCTAAATATCTTTGGGGAGAGGCAGTTCTCACTGCCTCGTATCTGATAAATCGAATGCCATCTCGCATTCTGAAATTTCAGTCTCCTCTTTCTAGTCTTGTTCGTATCTTCCCTTCCTTCCGAGGTGTCTCCTCCTTACCTCTCAAGTTATTTGGTTGTGTTGTATTTGTCCATATTCCCTCCCATCAACGGTCTAAGCTTGATCCTAAGTCTCTCCAGTGTGTCTTTATTGGTTATTCTCCTACTCAACGTGGCTATAAGTGTTATTCACCCTCTCTTCGTAAGGTCTTTGTCTCTATGGATGTCACTTTTCTGAGAATGACCCTTTCTTCCCCTCGACTTCTCTTCATGGGGAGTCTATAGGAGTAGATGAAGATCAGTCATGGGAACCTATTAATGCCACAGTATTACCTCTACTTTTAGAAACAGGGGGAGCTACAGAATCCTCACCATCAGGAGCCTCCTCAAAATGGGGACAAGTTTATAGCAGGCGAAAGCCTCCTCAAAGTGTGAATAACCCAGAGCCTCTACACTGCCAGGATTCTGAACCATGTTCTAGTTCCAGCACCCCAATACTTGAGTGTCATGGTGAAAATGATCTACACTTGCCCATTGCTCTCAGAAAAGGTACTCGATCTTGTACTACTCATCCTATTTCTAATCATATTTCATATGGAAAGTTGTCCCCAGGGTTTCGTGCTTTCAATACTATGTTGGATAGTACAAAGATACCGAGAAATATACATGAGGCTCTCAATGATAAAAAATGGAGGGATGCTGTCTTTGAAGAAATGAATGCTTTAGAAAGAAATGGAACTTGGGAGATAGTGACCCTACCCAAAGGAAAAAAGGCAGTAGGATGCAAATGGGTGTTTACAATAAAATTCAATGCAGATAATAGCATCAACAGATACAAGGCAAGATTGGTTGCAAAGGGTTTCACTCAGACTCATGGGATAGATTATCATGAGACTTTTGCTCCGGTTGCTAAAGTCAATACCATCCGAGTTCTCTTATCTCTTGCTGCCAATCTAGATTGGCCTCTGCAACAGTTAGATGTGAAGAATGCATTCCTAAATGGTGACTTACATGAAGAAGTCTATATGGATCCTCCACCTGGTTTTGAAAAGGGAAATGGATCAGTGTGTAAACTAAAAAAGTCTCTATATGGATTGAAACAGTCTCCCAGAGAATGGTTCGACAAATTCACACAAGCAGTCAAAAGAAGAGGCTTCATTCAAGCACAGACTGATCATACTCTCTTCCACAAACACTCTAAGGATGGTAAAATTGCTATTCTTATTGTATATGTAGATGATATAATTCTTACAGGTGATGATATTGAGGAATTGAACACCTTGAAGAAATTTCTAGCAGCTCAATTTGAACTCAAAGACCTTGGCACTCTCAAATATTTCCTTGGTATGGAAGTTGCTAGGAGCAAAACAGGTATCACTCTAACACAAAAGAAATATGTTCTAGATCTTTTGTTGGAAACAGGAATGTTAGGGTGTAAACCTGCTGAGACACCTGTGGAACCTAATACCAAGTTAGGTATTGAAGATGGAAATGAGGTGGATAAAGAACAATATCAGCGATTGGTTGGTAAACTAATCTACTTATCTCATACGCGTCCTGACATTGCCTTTGCGGTGAGTATGATTAGTCAATTCATGCACTCACCCAAGGAGAAGCATCTTAGTGCAGTCTATAGGGTGCTTAGATACCTCAAGAATACTCCAGGAAGAGGATTATTCTTTAAAAAGGGGTATAAAAGGACAATTGAAATCTACACTGATGCAGATTGGGCAGGCTCATCAGTAGACAGAAGATCTACCTCAGGCTATTGCACCTATGTGTGGGGAAATCTTGTTACTTGGAGAAGCAAAAAGCAAACAGTGGTTGCAAGAAGTAGTGCTGAAGCAGAATTTCGAGCTTTAGCTCATGGAGTTTGTGAAGGAATCTGGTTGAGAAGACTTCTTCAAGAGTTGAAGATTTCATATTCCCTACCAATAAAACTATATTGTGACAACAAGGCAGCTGTTAGCATTGCTCAAAATCCTGTGCATCATGATCGAACAAAGCACGTGGAAGTTGATCGTCACTTCATCAAAGAAAAATTAGATGATGGAAGTGTGCATTTGATATATGTTCCAACCAAAGAGCAAACGGCAGATGTCCTTACCAAGGGCCTACACCGTCCAGCATTCGAAGACTTGATTGGCAAGTTGGGAATGATCAATATTTACCTCTCAACTTGAGGGGGAGTGTAGAAAATTAGAATTCAAACATGTTTCCGTTTTTATTTCCTATTAATTAGGATTGATTATGATTGATTAGGATTGATTATGATTGATTAGGATTAATTGTGATTGATTAGAATTGATTGTGATTAGGATTGTGATAGGATTGATTAGTCATCGCTTAGTCATTCTTAGCGATTCTTTCTTGTATAAATACTCACTCATGTAATTTATTCAATATCAATATACAAAAACTTCTTTTCAATATTTTATTACTTTTATGACCGGTGCACTTGCCGAAGTCGCAACATATGCCACTCTTGCTCTTCTAATCTTTGGATACCAATTAATCCAGAGTTCGCGGAGGATATTCAATAAAATTTCCACATTCTCTTTACTATCTATTAGCAAGTTAAAAGTTATAATTGATGCTAATTATTGGTTTTTAGTATCTATTTTTATAGGGACTAACATAGGTTGAGCTTGGTAATAGTTTCAGAAGAGCAACGACCCCAACAAAACCAGATGAGTGAAAACTTGTAAGTCCGCATCTCATGATGTGGCATAACATTGTGTGCCACGGCATAACAACAGAGTATGGATTCTTCTTAAGTGGCACTTCATGCTGCAGCGTAAGTGCATAACATTGCATACTGCAGAGTGAGGCCCTTAATGTCCAAAAAAGTTTGAAAGCTTGTTTTCCTCTTGGCTTGGAGCTTTTGAGGTAAGAAAGCATACCTACCTTGAGTTTTTGAGAAGTTATAACATAGGGTTTCATGAAATTTGGGGAAAATGTGATGGGTGGGTTGAATATTGAAATTAATAGTTGATTGGTTTATGTTTGGTGTAGGAATATTGAAGGTAGTAATGACTTTGTATTGACCATCTTTGGGACCCATATTGAACTAGGGTTCCAACCTTAACTTTTGAAGAATTAGGGGGTAAGTAACCTTCTCCTTATAATTAATGGTTTGGTATATTGGTTGATGAATTCATGTGTTGAACATATTGTTGAATAGTTTAAAACTTTAAATTACCTTGAAATAGGGTGTTTGTTGGTGACTTGTGTTTGGTGACCATTGGAGCAAAATAAAGCTTTGGAACCAAACTTAAGAAAAGGTAAACTTTGGAACTTGGGATTAGTCTCATTTAATGTTCCACAATACCCCTTTTTGGGGTAATGGTTATTGTTTGAACGATTGAGTGGATTGTTAGAGTATGGCGTAATGTGCATTCATATAAACAGTTGTTATTTGTTGGTGTGTGATTCAATGAACAAGTACTAGAGGCTAGATTGCATAGTTAGAGTATCGACTAATGTGCAATCGGATGTGTGATATGATATGCTTACGCGTATAGCCATGGAATCATGAGTTGATTAATTGAGGCTCGTTGGCTAAAAGAATATGGTATGGGCTATCTCATGGAGAGATGTATCCAAAGATATTTCACTCTTAGGAATTCCATACGGACGCTCATTTAATGTCTGATTCATTGAGTGGTCCTAATGTAATGGGTACACGAAAGGCATTCATGACTAGGTAGATTCATTGACCAAAAGAATATGGCATTGGCTTCCCTTTGGAGAATTATCCTAAGAGGTGAAACTCTTGGAAGTCTCATGTGGACACTTGTTGAGTGACTGCTCTTCAAGTGATCTTAATGCACTGAGTGCATAGATTGATCAACTTTAGGTTACTTCACTTATTATATGATGTTATACTATACCATGTTGTTCTAACTTTTCATGCAGGCAAGTGAACTTAAGGGCGTAGTGATCTTCAAGGGCCCTTAGTTTACTGAGATTCATCTCTCATCCCTTTTGGGACATGTTTCAGGTTCTCATGGAGGAGGTAATAGCCCATCTCGAGGAAAGGAGCATGCTTAGTCTACTTGGAATAGTTAGGGTGACATGTTATATTTTGGAATGATATCTTGTGTTTTAGCACTTGTGCAAAACCATATTTTATTAGAACTTGTAATCTTTTGGTTAATGATTTATAAGAATAGTATGTACATTTAGATTCAAGTTCCTATGCTATGGTATGTAATCCAAGTATTTAAATACTATGTACATGCTTTGAACGATGCATTTTATTAGAACGCATGTCTGAAAATGTATATGAGATGGCTTGAAGCCATGTTGATGAATCCATTGATGGATCCTTGGAAAATAAGTGTATAGAGTGATGGATTTCATCTATATATATTGTGCCATAGTCAATTAGGTGGTAGAATTGGCGTTCATGCTCAAGGATAGGGTCTAGGGCATTAAAAAGAAGCTCCATGTAACGCCTGGCAGCTTCAAGAATCAATGACTATCCCCACATACTAACACGAGACTTTTCAGTGTGCTTTTTCCTCACTCGCACACTTCCTGGGAAAACTTCCCAGGAGGTCACTCATCCCAGAATTGCTCCAAGTCAAGCACGCTTAACTATGGAGTTCTTCCGTTCCGGGCTACCGAAAAGAAGATGCATCTTGTTAGCATAGGTAGTACCAATTAATTCTTATAAGCTATCCCAAACTGTGCAGTCTCACACCTGCACAGTCTTTGGAATCCCTCTCTTTCGCGTGTCGATTCGATTCATTCATGCATATAACCCCACGCTAGAAGCCTGTTAGGAGCCGCTCCTTGTCCATGCCCTTTCGCACCGGCGATCACTCCCCGCCCTCGTCAGCGCTCGGGATGTTACACCCCATGTCTCTGCCTCAGCGCGTTAAAACACGCAAGACCCCTACAAACCTATCTCAGCTCATTTTAACGCACAGATTGTGCGTTTTAATGCACTGGCTTTTGGGAGAAGCGCGTTTTAACGCACTTAGAGCGCTTTAACGCATTGTGCCTGGAAAATTATACCTTTTCTGCGCGTTAAAACGCGCTATAAGGCATTTTTTAACGCGCTAGACCAGTGTTGATTTTCCCTCTTTTACATCTCCAGTCTTATGTGGGCCACTTGGTTTGAGGTTATAAGCTTGTGTAGGACCTTCCTAGCTAGATTACTCATTGTAACCAATGGGTTAGACATAATTGAGCGAGAAAAGGTTTATTCACGTTTTAACCATAGCTATCAATTTTTTCATAACTTTACATATAAAAAAGTTGTCTTAGATTTAACTAAGTGATTAAAAGTTAATTCAAGTTGCGTTTAATACCATAATTGAGTTAATACATCGGGTGCATACGGAGTGTTACAGAATGATACTCTTACTCTCACTTTATCATTCCTTCAAGAACATCTTCAAGCTTCTTCAATCGAGCTTCTTGAAGTTTTTTATCTCTTCCCAGTTGTCACCAATCCTCCTCCATTTGTTTCATCAAAGCTTCGAAACCCCTCTCCATTCTTATGCGTACCATGAAAATCTCCTTGGATTTAGGACCTCTTCTACTAGTTAATAGAAACTGTACCAGAAAAAGCAAAGAACAAATAGAAAAGGGATGATTTTGTATTGCATACCACTCTTCTCCATGAATTTGAATCCAATAGAATGTAGAATCAAGAGGGAAGATGGAAAAGAAGGAAAGCAAAGAGGTATATCTTACAGCACCAAGAAGTTTGAGGGTCTTGGAGCTCCCTCCCAACCTCTATTCCAAAACCAAAAACTCCCCCTATTGTTTTCCTCCTATTTTTTATACCCTTTCACTTCTACTTCCCCCTCCCTAATATAGATACAATTGTCAACAAAACTAACTCACTTTCTATTCCCCACTCTGATCCTTATTCCTGCCAACACACACCTTTTTATTGGGGGTCTGCTAACAGACAATAGTCCTTGAACCAATGTGACATGAAGAATTGAACTAGAGAAATACCGTTTTGGATTATACAGTAAGAAGAAGCCTCCACTAGTGATGAAATCAGATTTTCTGACTTACACAGTTAGCTTTACAAAGTAGTTTTTCTTTGTTTGCCTTTTCTCAAGTGTTCAATATTTTCCATGTCACACTTCATTTTTTTAATAATATTTGATCTAATGTTAAGGAGGCTTGTACATATCCCCATATGCTTCATATATTCAAGAAAGAAGGAAGTGATTTCAAAATTATGCATCATTCTACACGAACAGAAAATGGCATCACAAAAATAGTATATGAGCAAATATATTTAGTCTGGAATAATTTATTCCCCCATGCTGAAACAACAATATCTCATCGGATGAATGAAAATATGGCCCATATCTAGGCAACTAAGTAAATATAATAGATTCTGTGAAATAAATCAAAATCATACCTTTCAAGTTAGCTAGGTACATTGTAAAGTGTGAACCAATTTCTGGTGAAATTAAATATGCCCCTGATGTATTGATCCTGTCAAAGCAATTCAAGTTACTACACAACAAGAGGCTTAAAAACATCTTAACCAAAACAAATGAGGAAAGTCAAGAGTACCAATCAGGCAATGGGCTATATACATGACTTTCTGGTGATATCAAAGCATGATCTCTCCTATAAACACTACGTGTGAATCCAGGCAAATCTGACAAACAAAACCATAGTAAAGTCAGTTGACTCAGTTCAATACAATATCACTATATATTTCTCTCCTAGAAAAATAGTTGAGGACTCAACAGTAACAGAAACCTCAAGATCTAGAAAACCTTTTGATATAGATCAAAATAAAACAAAGGATCACAATTCACAACTCAAGTAAGTATCATAATCATCAAGCCCAGTAGTTGATTGTAACATTTCGCCTCTTAGGAAAATGCTTTCAGCAACCAAAAATAATAATCTCATGGTAATTGTGAAGTCCACAACTTTATCTTGAAAACAGTTATGACTTCAAAAGTAGGGAGTGGAAATGAATCAAGCAAAGCAGATGCCATGAACTTCTTCAATTTGACCAAACTCACAAGCCTGCTAGAAAGCATACAGTTTTATATTCATTTTTTACACCTAACTTATATTTTTCACATTTACATAACTTGTTTATAACAAAAATGTTTCATATTTACCAAAAAGACCTCCCTCTGTCATAAAAACAGACACAAAACTCCCTTTTATTTATTTCAAAGAAAAAAAAACACTACAGCTAACTTCGAAATAATGTCAAGTCTAATACCCAATTTTAGGTTTATAGAACATATTTATTTGGTGTAGTCGAATGGAAGGTACAAATGGTCATGTGCCAAAATGAACTTTCAATCCAACTACACCAAACGAATGTGGTCTTCCTTTTTTCCCAACATATAAAACTGAACAAGTATAGGAATGAGTCGAATGACATTTAACTACAACACAGCCACAAATTAACTCAGTTAAAGAAACGTTTACATGCATATTGGAGTTAATTGAAGCATTTTTTGGTAAAATAAATATATTACAGTATACCCAGACAAACATAAACATGTACAAAAATATAGTTCAAAAAATTCTGCTTCTTTAGTTAATCAACTAACAAGTCCAATCCTTTGTAACTCAGGATTGGTTTGATTATTCACCCTAGTTATAAATTTTATACCGACATGATCTCAACTTTTACTCTCCTTCATTAACCTAATCAGTAATCACCAGTAGTCTTTATTTGCTTCTTGCTTCATTAACCATTTACACCAACATAACAACAATTTAATAATTTTTTTTTAAAAAAAAAAAAAATCAAAATACAATTTTTAGAACAAAAATAGTTAACTGACCTTGAAGGTGGAGAGGAGAGAGAGTGGGGTTGTTGACTTTCCAATAAAGAGGCTTCGATTTCGATTCCATGCTAAGCACGGAAGGAGCAGAGCAAAACCCTTCTTCAGCCAATGCATAGTTAAAGAAGCCTGAAAATGCAACAAAACAATGAAAACATAACTAAAGCTATTTCCTCATTAACTAAGAAACACTTTAGCCTCCTTTAGCAATCAGGAACAACCAACAAAAGATTAAAAAAAAAAAAATTAAATAAAACTTTGAGTAGAGAATAAAATAAAGGAGAAGGTACCAAGAATGAGGAGAAGGACAGAGATACTAGACATTTTCGGAAGAAGATGAGAAGGTAAAGAAAGAGTGGTTCAAATGTAAGTATGGAAGTGTCACGTACGTTGTTGACACTGTACAACGATTAGTGATTTTAGTGAATGGAGGAGAGAGAGGAAAGTGAGAACTACAAAACAGAAGAAGACAACTGATATCAGCTTTGGGCCTTTGTCTTTTCTTCTTCTTCTTTTTTTACAGCCCGTTTCTTTTTTTGGTTTTAATTAATTAAATAATAACTGGGCGGGCCATGTGAATAAATTTGAGAACAGAATAAAAAATAGATCGAGAGGTTATATTTATGGGTTTGTTTTTTCTGATGTTAATGTAGATAATTTTATCTAATGTTCATCAAAACGACGTCGTTTTGGGACGGAAATCATGGTATTTTTGTAATTTTAATTTATTTCAGGGTTATAATAGTCTTTATCACTCTAATTTTTTAATTTTTCAACCCAAAACGACGTCGTTTCGATGAACATTAGATAAAGTTATCTAAAGTAACATCGGAAACTTTTTTCCCTATATTTATTACTATTTTTTTACTATCTTTTATTATTAAATTTTAATTGTTGATTTTCGTTAATCTAACGGTTATAATTTATTATGTCATATTTATTAATTAATTATTAATTTTTAATAAATTATAACCGTTAGATTGATGAAAATCAACGGTTAAGATTTGATAATAAAAAAAAAAGGTAGTAAGTAACTAAGTATAACCCCTCCCTAAAAAATAATAACAATATTGTAAAGATCAACACAAAAAAAGAAATTAAAAACAATAAATTTGTTTAAATAGTGAAATATTATCAAATGAAAATAATCCTCTTGATTATTATTCATAAAACAATAACACATTGAAAATAATTTTAGTTGTTCCTGATTAACACTTCACCTAAGAAGTAGGGTATAAATATTCATTTTCTTTAGAGGACGTTTGGTAGAGGATATATTTTTTTTGTACCAGAAAACATAATTAATGAAAAAATGATTATCAAGTAAGTTTGATGAAAAAGTTTAATAAAAGATGTTTGGTTCACTGAAATATTATCGGAGAAATTTATTTAAATTTGCAAGATCTATGTTTGGTTAAATGTAAAATATTGATGCAAAAATAGGTTAAATTGACCAAAACACCCCCGTTATAATTTTTTTTTAAAAGAACCACTGCATACAAGTGCAGGGTCATTTCGGTCCACAACTTGAAACCCCTTTTTTCACTTCCCCGTCTATCCTAAAATACAAGTGGTATTTTGGAATAGTTAATTTCACAAACAAAAAAAAAACAATTGTGAACTTGTTTACTAGGCTTCCTATTTACCTGGATTTTTTTTTCCCCAAATTTGAACCACACGTGGTCTTTTTCAATTGCCACCCACATCTTTCCATCAAACTCAAATGAAAACATGTACCAAACACACCCTTATTGATCTCGTAACCCATTTTTCTTGAGGTAGCATAAAATCCTAGTGGTCGTTGGAGCTTGTTCCCTAATTTAATTTGTCATCTACACAAAATTATAAGATGAAAAATATGTCATATGAGCATAATATTCTTATTTATGAAGTTGAAACCAATTAAAAAGCGAGAACAGATGTAAGATAGAGATTACACCATTCATTCAGGGGGCGTTTGGTTTAGGAGAACTTTTTTTTACTAGGGAAATAGAATTAGTAGGAATATAGTGGGGAAATGGGTTAGGTAAGAAAGTTAAAAAAAATTGGACCTCTCAACATGAACCTCTCACTCTGCTTCTCAGTCCTATTCTCTCCCTTCTTCTCGCACACGTCGTTCGCTCCTTCTTCTCGGGTTATTTTGGTCTGCATATAGTTGCCATCTTGCCATTTCGCCGGTTAACTATAGAATACCACCATAAACTTGTCTTTCAGAAGAGTAACTTGTACTTCCATTTTACAAGCATTTCTCAATAGCTATGCAAATACACCAGCCGGGCAAATATTTCAAAACTCTCTACCAAACGTGGATGTCACACTTTTCCAAACTCAGATTCATAGGTAAATATTTGAAAATCTTGAACCAAACGCCACCATATCCACACTTTTTAAATCTATCAATTGTATTTTTAATTTGATTACTTTATTATGAATTAATTTTCTAAGAGTGTGCAAAAAATTCAAATGAACCAAATTGGATTGCGAATCAAACCGAATCATACCAAAAGAATCACATTTTGTTAACCGGTTTAAGAACTGAGCCATTTTATGTAGATTTGATCAAGAATTGAACCACTTTATTTGAACAAGTTTGAGAATGAAAAGAACCGTTTTAGTTCTTTTTTCCTTAACTACTAGCATTTTCAACTTTTTTTATATATTTTATTCAATTTATTGCCTTAAAATCGATTCTAAACTTATTTGGAAACAAAACTAGTTCGTAAAAAAATTAAATCGGTTTGGTTTGATTCAATATAGAAAATTGAACTGAAACGAATCATGCTAGACCCTTAATCTTTACATTTGTTTTGACGTAGAGTAATAAGTCGTTTGGTTTGGTGTGGCCCAAAAAAGGCCATATGGTTTTCTATCAATCTATGGAACGGGGCATAACACCTAGCTAAGCTTCTAAGAGCTCACCATAGTAGATGGTTAACCAGAGTTACTGTTGAGACCTTACTAGCCTTCCTGTACTAGCATGATAAATGTGAACATTCCTCGCTTTTGTCGAGTAGCCTTTGAGTGGAAACAATTACCGTGGAGTGAGGTGGAGTTTGCATAGTTGAAGGTGGATAGCTAAGGATGAAGACTATATAAATAATTATATGATGCTATTATGAATCATGTAAGGACTACTCTAAAGCGTAGGGTATAGCTCTTAGCAGGTAGCGTGCTAGTGAAACTGCACTTATGTATAACTAAAAATGGACTTGTTAAACATGCATATTTGTTTCCCAAGAAACACATATAAATTTTTTCTACCACATGTGAATTTACTTAATGCAATGTTTAAGTCATTATTCTCATTATTTGATATTCCACATGAGATACATGATGACGATAATGATGCATGATCATGTGATAAACATTTAGCACAACTATTAATACCCAACTTAAGAGTTTCATTTTCATTCTTTAGCTTTTTTACTTCCTTATTTAAACACTAATAATTTTCTTTGAAACTCTAAGAAATTTTTCAAGTTTTAAGGAATTTTCATGTATTTCATCAAGAGCAATTTGCAATTCATTACCTAATGGAGAAAATATAAAGAAAGTAGAATTTACCTCAGATTTTAATTTATTTTCATCCTCTTTTGCCATTAAGCACATTTGTTGAATTCTCTTGTGTATTTCATTTGATGACTTTGACTCATGCAAGAAACACATGTTTGCCTCTTCATTTGAAACTGCATAAGCATTCTTTTTAAAATTCTTCTTCTCCTTGAATTGATTCTTTTAAACTTTTTATTTCTTTTGAAGCTTAGGATAACTGGCTCTAAAATGTTTAACCCTTTTACACTCATAACATGAATTAGGGGGTTAAGAGCTCTTCATCTATAAAACTTTTAAGTCGATGTATTATTTGTGAGCTCTAATTTTTAAATAATTTGTCATATTTCTTCACAAAAAGTCTCATTCCATCTTCACCTAGTTTATTGTCGGAGAACTCCTACTCATTTTTCTTCCTCAATTTGATTCTTTAAACTTGTGACTTGTAAAACTAGCCTTTTACTTTTCTTATTACTTGCTCCTTTAAGGTTAGCTTTGTCAACTCTAGCTCATTCTTGAAGCTTCTCAAAGAGTGTTGTTACAATCATTGTTAGGATTATGGCTTCCATACTCAAGAAGAGAGTGAATTGAGTATTACAAGATTTTCACAAAAGTCTCATTCTAGTTTCTAAATAGTCATTTCAAACAAGTTTTGATATGTGGAAAGCTAATCAATATATTCAAACAATCCATAATATATAATGTATTACAATTATAGAACTTATTATAGCACATACAATATATCAAAGAAGCAATTAAAGTGTTAGAAATAAAGAGTTTAGAGTTTAGAGAATTGCAAACACTATATATCCTGGTTCGGTCACCACCACTCGTGACCTACGTCAAAACTGAAGCCGCTCGATCAACTATTTCACTAATGGTCAAGCTTCACGGGTGCTTGACAAACCTTTACAATCTTCCAAGACTTCGGGTTCTTGGATACCTTACAATCTCCAAGCTTGCGGGTACTTGACAACCTTACAATTCAATCCAAATTTACTTAAGTATTTGGCTACCTCTCAAACAACGGGTCTCAACTCTTTCAACTCAATAATACAAGGAGAGAAATATTTGAAAATGAATATACACTCTCAAAGTGTGGATATACAACTTGAAGCAGTATGGGTATATGAATTTTCAATATATGAGCTCAAATATGTTTGATCTTTTAAAGATATGAAAGAATATGCAAATGATAGTGTAGAAGCTCTCAAGCCATCCTTAAGATGTGTAGGAATAATGATCTATGCGTTTTAGGGTCATAAAGAATGTATTTATAATGATTTTTTGCAAAACTAGTTGTTTATAGCTGTTATAGGCTTTCTATCGCATGGGAAATCGATTCTCATACTTCGGAAATCGATTCCCAACCTTTCCAGGAGGAGGGAATCGATTCCCAACCTGTTGAAAGGCTGGAGATTTGACAATAATAAAACTGTTTCGTATTTTGGGCATAACTTGAGTTATTCTTGTCTTATTGATGTGACCTTAGTTTTGTTGGAAAGATAAGATAAAGATCTACAACTTCTATGAAGAACACAAGATCCAAATCCATCATATTGGATACGAAAAATTGTATGGAAGGCAGCAGTGAAATTATGCAACAAATTTTAAGTTCAAATGTGTTCTAGATTGCTTCCAACCATTTTTTTGTGAAAGATTTTGACATGATAAATATGTTTTGAAGTTATAAAATATGTCAAGATCTTTTTCATGGGTTTTTCAAATTTCTTTCAAGTATATAAAGGCTATAATTATGCAATTCGAATAACACGTTTACTTTGAGAAAACTTTGAGCTCATGCAATGCAATCTACCATATACCCTCACATATATTCTAAGACCTAAAGATATATTCTAAATATAATTTTAGACTTAGCTTCAAGTCTTGTGTCTTGAATCTTTACTTGAGTTTGATGCTTTGAATTGTTGGATGTGACAATGCTTGACACTTGTTAGTTTAGATCATTTTTCACCATGGTTAAGATGTTTAGCTTCTCTTAGATGTTGTATATAATTTGTTGTTTTTGATCTTGGTGTTGCTCTTCTAATTATTCCTTGTTGCTCTTGATCCAAGCATCTTGTTACTTTGATATGTCATTACTTTTCTTGTGTGGTTACATCATATATCTTCAATATCCACATATGTTTGATGCTTTTTGCTCTTGATTAATACTCTTCTTTTTTTGTTGTTGCCACTTTGTAATCATCAAAACATACATTAAATCTACAAACATAGTATTGAAGTCATTTAATTCACAAATAATTGTCACTTTAGGTTGTCGTTCCCTATTCAACCTTTTCAAGATTTTAGTGACCAGATGTAAAGCATCTAATGCATCTAAATGAGTGACGATGTATGTGTGAATCTCTTTTGTATGCTTTGAATGGTTTCACCATCATTCATTTTAAACAATTCAAATTGTCTAGTACGTACATTTGCTGTAGAAAAATTAACTTTATTAATTCCTTCATGTGTTACTTCAAGCACATCTCAATTTTCTTTTATCGTTTTGCATTCCAACTTGAATATTAAATTTCTTCATTTCAAAATTCTTTCACCTTCTTAGGAATATATTTGTTGTTTTCATCTTTTTTAGTGGGAATTTCATGACCCTTTTCAACAATGTTCCAAACTTTTAAATCATTAGACTTAATAAAGGTTTGTGTCCAACTTTTCCAATAGGGATAATCGGTGCTAATGAAAACTGAGGTCTTGTAGTTGAAGTACCCCATGTCATTGTTCAAATAAGTCATACATTCTCTTGAAACTGTTAAGCTCTTTATATAAAAGTCTAAGCTCTATATCTAAAAGTCTAAGTTCCAATACCATTTATTGGACAAGTGGCCTCGAAACTCAAGGAGGTGAATTGAGTTTTAAAATCTTTTTCTTAAAATGCATCATTTTTCTTTTTGTAAAATCAATTTCTTAAGATACTTTGATTCAAGATAAACAAAGGTGATAGATAACAACTAAGTCAAGCAAAGAATGCTCAAATTGAAAGCTAAAAATACTAATATAGAAGAGATAAAGAATAGTGAGAATGAAAATTCAATTTATCCTGGTTTGGTCGTAACCTATGTCCAAATTGTAATCACCAAATTGATTCTCTTATATTGAACAAGTTTTAAGAATGTTTGAACAAACCATTACAACCACTAAGATTATGGTTCTTTAGCACCTTACAATTTCACCCAAATTTCAATAACAATGGACTACATTTCGAACACCAAGTGTATCACTACATTTTCAACTTAAGTGTATAAAAAAGAAATGTTTGAGATTGACTAAGTACTCTCAAAGTATAAGTTACACAAATTGAAAGCCTATAGGTATTTTCTCATAAGAATAGAGCTCAAAGGAATTAAATGATCAAAAGTAGTAGGAATGGGCAATAAATTAATTTCATGCAAGGAGAGCAATCAATGATAGCTCAAGATAGATAAATGAGTGACTAAAAGTGGTTGAAGACATAATATATGAGTATATAAATCTTTGTTAATAGTCATTAAAATGCTTATCAACTAACAAACATTCAAATATTTTTTAATTTACATTTGAATACTTTTCCAAGTATTTGATTACTTGGAAAAAAATAATCAAATATTTTTTGTTCTAGTAAAGTATTTGGCTACTTGAAAATAAAGTATTTGAATACTTTCCCTTTAAAGGCCAATTTTATAACAAAATCCAATTCAACTCGATTCCAATTGGTTTTCAACTACTTTTATGAAGGGTCTTGGAATTTATATTTTTGATATTCTACGACCCGTAAAAAGACTTTTCACGAGTTTTCAAATTATTCTCAAGTACCTCAAGCCATAGTTTATGCTTTTTGAAAAATAATATTAGTTTGAACTATTCATTCAATTTTGACCAACTATCTTTATATTTAAGTCTCGGTCCTATGGTTACCAAATAAATAAATAAATAAAATCTAGGTCCTATAAATATACTACTTGTAAGTTTTTGAACTTAGGTTCTTGCTTGACCTTGATCTCCTTTGAATTTAGATATATGCTCGGATAGATTATACATATGTTTACTTTGTTATTTTTCCCCGACTTCTTTTTAATTAGGGATAGGTTATTCTGACTACTCTTATTTTGCCTACCTTTGCCTACATCTTTCAATACCATTAGATTACAATCTCATCCAACAGTGAAGATTTGCATAATAAAATGAATTTTTTCCCCTTTCTTTCTCCTCATTGTCTCCCACACTCTTTCTTTCTATCGATTTGCATAATTTATAACCTGAATTTATATTTGAATATAAATCCATGCAATGATTAATGGCATGATAGTTATGCTGGATGAGTATAATTTTTAAAATTTATTGAATATGATATAATTGAACACGACAGAGACCACAAAATTACAAATAAATGATAATCATGAATAACCCTTCATTTGAATTAATCTATGATTAACGTAACGTTTCTACTTTGCTGTTGATAATTGAAACGAATCAACTTATCTCATTCTTTTTATCTTGTTTTTCACCTTGAAATGGAAAAAAGGATCTCTGTTCTTTCTATGATACGCTCAACAACATGCCTCCTTACCCTGGTTCCATAATATAGGGTATCTGGATTTATTTCTTCTTGACACCCCATTTCAATTTCTTATGTAAATGTTCATAACAATGACTGAGTTGGATGAATTGAGAAAAAAACTTGTACATTTTTTTATGCTAAAACACTATTGAAGAAAAAGAAAGGGGAGAAGAGAGAAAGAGAGGCAGTGTGAGAGAAAAGGGGTAAAAATATTTATTTTATAACGTAAATCTTCACCATTTGATGAGACTGTAATCTAACGGTACTGAAAGAGATAGGTAAAATAAGAGTAGGTAGATTATTCCTTTTAATTATTGTAAGATATATTTTTCCTCACGTATCTTTTCATATTTATATATTATCTTGAAAACTCTTGCAATTTTTTATCTTAGACTTAAATTCATTATCTCCGCATTCTCGATTATATATAAAAGACTTTTCATTATTCATCGCAACAAAGTGTTGTCTATATAACATCCATTGAATATCCATCGATAATGATTTGACCAATCCCTTCTACCTAATCATAATTCATGAATTTAGTTATTATAAAGAAGGAAAAAAGTGTGTATCATTTTTAAAATGTAAAATTATGTTATTTTAAGTAAGAGAAAGAGATAGATAAAAAAGCGAGTGCGAAAAAAATAAATAAAAATGTGGATACCATCTTTTTATAAAAATAAAATGACACAAATTATATAATTTAAAATGACAAAAACTTTTATCTAGAAAGAATGTATTATGAATATTGAATGTTCAAATTTCTTAAATGCAAGATAACGTGAAATTTTGTCTTTGCTAATTTATAGAACAAAAATCAATTATATTTTATAACATTAGGAATAAAAATTTATTCTCAAACTTCATCTTTACCCGATTGAAACGTGAATTAAGTTCTACAAAATATTAGATTTCATTTGTAAAGAACAAAAAAAAGAAAAGAAAGTAAAATGAACTAAATATTATAAAGGATATAAAGTAAGGGCGCGAACAATTTCCGATGGAAGTTGCGGCGGCGAACCCAGACACGTGCTTGAGGGTTTAGCAACAGAGTATTAGGGTTTTACTGAGCTTTGAGCTGAGTAGCCCCTCTTTGATGCTATTTGAGCCAAGAGAAAGCGATGAGCACTGCAATCTCAATCGCTGATACAATGTCCGAAGCAGAAGCAGCTTCCATGGCTTCTCTCGTTGCTTCGCTGTCGAAAAGCTTCTATCAGGTGCCTCCGTCGGCCGTTCCGGCAATGCTTGATTGCATTCTGGTGTCCACGGGTTTGTCTCCATCTTCGCTCTTCGCTTCGCTTCTCCATGATTTCCCTCGTCTTCTCAAGGTACTACTGCTCTTCACTCTATCAATTCTTCTCTTTGCTTGTCCTCATCTATCTTCATGTTTATTCCTCTCTCTCTCTCTCTCTTAGTAATCTGAAGACACTCTTGAAAAAAAAAAAAAAAGCGATCGTGAGAATCTTCGTTAGTGATTTGGATTTCAGTCATTTCTAGAAATGATAGGATTGTTTTTATTTAATTTAATTTTTCTTTTTTAACCTTACATTGAGTGTTTTGGGGTTTGCATTTGGTTGTCTTTGTTAAATTTAATAGGACATTATCAAGGAGGATGATAATTTTGATTCTGCTAAACATCTCCATCTTGTATCACTGTTGGGCGCATTTTGTCACCTCCTGAAGAAAACAGGTGAGTTACCGTCCCATTTATGCCGTTGTTTTATTCTTTTTGTTTTGAACATTCAAAAATGGTTTTTCTGAGCTATATATGGTTTTTTCTCTGTTGTTCATCTTGAAGTGCATCTTTAAGTAGAAACGTAATGCTGTGCTGAAATGGAGCATTTGCTGCTGTCACATTACCTGTCTTCTTCTTCTAGGAACCCTTCCTTTTAATTTGTCTCTTTAATTCTTTGCAGGGGCTGATAGTGACGCATTACAATCTTTTGTGTGGAGATGTTTTGTTCCTTTAGCTAAGGTGCTACAGGGGTTTCAGCATGACTTGCTTAATCCGGTATAATACAATGTTAAATAGCCAGGCTACTGTGTTTTATAGGTGTTTAACTATTTATTGGAAAACATTTTATCATATAATTGTTTTTTCTTCTTTTGCCTCTATTGTTGTTGGATATACATCATTTTGATGTTAGATTACAGAATTATTCATGGATGTTGTGGTTGAAACTCGCACCTGGGAAGTTCTTGAAGCAACTTTGGTGCCAATTTTTCTTAGATCAGTTGGTCTTTCCTTGGGTATGCTTCATAATGATGATTTGAATTTCTATGAATGGAGTAGCAAATCATCTCACCAGGGTTCATATGATGTCAACATCGATCCACTAATGGACAAGGAACTGTTGCTGTCTTCGTCATGTAGTTTCAAATTGACAACATCATGCAATGTTTTGTCTGTAATTCTGGAAGTTTCCGTTCAGTTTCTGCGGACAGATGCAGTCTCTAAATCAGCAGAAAGAAACTGGTGTTTTGCAGATAAATTTGTTAAAATTTTGATTTGGGAATTATGTAATATGACTGAACGGATGCTTTTACATAGTCCAGAGCACAGGTCTTGTGCTGTTGCCTTTCTTCTTCCTACGGTTCTCAAAGCATTTCCTGCCATTTGCTCATTTGAAGTCTCGTTTCGTGGGCAGAAACACGGTTTTTCTTGGTAGAATCAGTTGAATTAATTAATGTTCATCTGACTTATATACATTCTATTATCTGTTTATTAATGCATTTTGTATATTATTGGTTTTAGGGAGCATTTCTTCATCAAAATATGGAACTGCTGCCGTATACTGTTTACGACTGGGGCTTTAGAGAGAAGAGAGGCATATAATATACTCTCTTTGTATTTCTCTTTTTCCTGGCCGACAGAAGAATGTGCAGATGTTGATAGTGATACAATCGTTAGAACTGAAGAATTTGACATACGAGCAGAAAAAGAGTTCTGGGATGAAATTAAGATGGGCCTGGTACTTTAGTTTTGTTTAGTAGTTTTCAGTTAGATTGTCTAATTTGTTGTTGCCCTGCTCACTTAAGAAACAAACTGAACCTTGTCAGGTTGACAAAGAGAGTGTGGTGAGGAAGCAGAGTTTACATATATTGAAGATAGCTCTGAATATACAAGGAGGAACCAATTCCATCTCTAACATTTCAAAAAAGAATACCAATGGAAAGCATTCAGTACCTCATGGTGTGACAAAGAGGGATCTATGGGCTTACAAGGAAGCCAAGTCACTTGGTGTTGGGAAGCTTTCGACTTCAGATGACCTTATTTTCAACAGCCAGCAGTATTGGGATGCATTTGTACTTTTATATGAGATGCTTGAAGAATATGGTACTCATTTAGTTGAAGCAGCTTGGAATCATCAGGTTTGTAGTGATGTGCTCACATTTTTCGTCTTATCTGTCTTAGAGCATTAACACCTTACTGTAAAATGTAAATGTGTGGTTTTGGATTCATGAAGATGGGCTATACTTGGTAGTAAGGAATAAGTTGAACAGTAGAAAATGAGTGAGAAGAACAAAGAGGTAGCAAATTGTAGTACATCCTTCCCTGCTTTATTGATTGCCATTTTTGCCTCATACTTGAAAAGATTTTTATTTATTTTTTATATAGAAAAAATGAGGTGATACTGCAAAGGCTAGGCCCCTTTTTTGTTATTGATATACGTGTTGTCTGTGTAGGTCAGAAACATATGTACATTTATTTTTTAACAATCCTTTTTATATGGTTGGAGTGGTTGAGAAACCCTTTTAAGTTGCAGAGAATGTAGTGTATTTTGGAATATGAAGTTGTGAATACATTGTTCTTCCTCGGGCATTATTTTAAGTTTCTGGATCAAATAAATCCCAGTGCGTGTAACTAATTCTATAACTACTTTGTCCCTAATTCTATAACTTCCTAATATCCTGGGTCCTATCATATACTTTCTGTACACATAGGTACCATCCCCTGTCAGATACTCTTGGTGCATATTTCACTTGTAAAAATGTCTTTTCTCTAGGACTTGGTATTTTGATTTCTAATTTTTGTGCTTTCCACAACCAATGCATCTAATGTGCTAAAATAATTGTTTCATGCAGGTCTCTTTGTTGCTTCAATTCTCTGGGTCATATCCCAATGTTGGAACCAGTTTCAGTGAAGATCATAAAAATCAATTTGAAATATATGGTGAGACTTTTGATTGGTTATCTATTTTATGGGAAAGAGGCCTTCATCATGACAATCCTCAAGGTTAGTTTGGTTGTCTTTATGAACAAGTGAGGAATCAATTAATATTTTTGCTAGTAAAACTTTAAAGTCAGGGTTACAAATACATATTACCCACATTCCATAGTCTGTCATCTATCAAATTAGTCCTTTCATACTTCCTCATCATTTTTCCTTTTATGGTATTTCCCAAATAAATGCAGTAAGATGCCTGATCATGCAGTCTTTTCTTGACATCAATTGGGGGAATTATGAGAACTACATAAAATCAGTGCGTGAAACTTTTGTTCTCGGTCCATTTATGCAAGGGTTGAATGACCCAGTACACCACAAAGAATTTGGTTAGTGCTTCACTCCTTTGGGCCCTTTTCAAATGAATTTCTTTTTACTTATATTGGAATTTATGTTGAATTTTTTTTATGGATGATTTAATATTACTTATATTATTACTTTCTCCAATTTCGATGTTCTGTTTGTTAACATGATAAAATGTGTCTCCTTCATCTGCTTATGCTACTATTATATATATATATATATATATATATATATATATATATTGTACTTAATACTGCCTTGATTGACTTTAAATTTCAGGTGTAAAAGGAGTTTATATGTCAAGGGTGATTGAAGGTGCAGCCCTGTTTCTACGCCATTACATTAGTTACCTAGCTCCAAGGTATGTTCAGAAACTTGTGTTTGTAAGTAGACAGGTAATTTATTTATTTATTTGTGTGTGCTTGTGTGTGTATAAAAGAAGAAATCATCAAGAAATAAATGTGTTCAAAAGCAGGGGGATTAGGAATCCTTTAAGGTCACAAAGAAATGACATCAAGAATAAAAAGGCTGCTTAGACCTGGAGGCATCCACCCATTATGGGGTTTGAGGAGGGAAAAGTTATCAAATGGATTGTGGCCTGTTGCGGCAACCCCTGAAAAATGCTATAGCATTATAGTGAGTTGCGGTTGCAGTTGCAGAAATAGCTGAATAGATCAATAGAAGCTAGATTTACCGCACATATCAACATCAACATCAACAACACCTTTATCCCAAATTAATTGGATTTACCGCACATATATATGCTAAAAAATAAAGACATTCATTCATAATAAAGAATTGTTCCAGAACAAAAAAGAATTCCAAATAGTCAATCAAAAGTATCTAAATATTGTCAATATTCTATTTCTATCAATAAAAAAATTAAAGCATGCTATTACAAGACAAGGACAGTGGCGCAGAAGCATCAACAAGTAACAAAATAATTCTGTAATACAAGTAACACAACAAATTAGTAAGAATAAAAAATGAAAAAAGAAACAGAGAAAAAAACCATTATAAAAAAAAGGAAGCCTTAGATATCAAAGACAGAATAAAAAAGAGTTGGAAACATCTTCATAAAAAAAGCCATCATTAAAAAAATAATTTAAAGGCTGGTTATGGTTTTTTTATAGTAAAACAGAGTTAAAAACCAAAAACAATACTTACAGAACAAAAACAAGAAAAGAGAAAGAGAGTTAAAATACGTTTTGCATACGCAGAGTTTTGTGAGAAAAAATCCATATAGCAGCTGGTCAGTTTACAAAAAAAAAAGAGAACAGTTTACAGGGAAAAAAAAACGAAGAGAACAGAGTAGAAAGGAAGAAGAAGAAAACGGAGAGAACCCAAAACAGAGAGAGTTGTCGCTGGAAGTCAGTCACTGGTCACCGTTCGTCGTTTGCCGGAATAGGAACAGCTGGCCGCTGCTGTTTTGGGTTTTTTGTTTTGATTGTTTGACGTACCAGAGAGAGTGTGTAGAGTCAGATTATAAATAAGGGTTAAATGACAATTTAACCCTTAAAAAAAAAAACTCTTGGGTCTTTATACAAGGGGAAAAAATGAAATTTGAAAACCCATTTTCTGTAGCTGCGCAATTGACTGCAATTCTCCCTCAAAAGCGGACGCTACAGCAGCTACCATGAACCAATGCGTTGCGTAGCGAGTTGTAGCGGATAGTCTCCGTGAAGCGCAATAGTGGCACATTTAACAACTACGGAGGATGGTCAGAGAAAAAATAAAATACATTGGTTCAAATGAAAAGTCTAGTTCCTTTGCATGTAGAAGCTGCAAACTCAAATAAAATACATTGGTTCAAATGACAAGTCTAGTTCCTTTGCATGTAGAAGCTGCAAACTCTCTTTAAGAAAGTACATCACGTCTGGAATTGGAAGAGTTAAGAAAGTTTTGAAGATAGGAACTGATGAGAAAATGGATGAAGTAGAAGGAAAATGCTAGAAACAGAGTAGAGTAGAGGGAAAACTGAAGGATAAATTCTTATATGTTTTGTTTTCCATTGATTTAAGTCAGGTCTGAGATTATGTATTTATACGGATATCGTATTCAATTAAGAATAGTTGGAAACAACTGTCAACTGAAAACAGAGGTAGTTACCAAACTTAAAGACAGTTAATATCTGTTGCAGCTGTTACAATAGACTTAATTACAAGTCTTAACTGACTAGCTCTGTGCTAGATACAGAACCAGTCTTCACTACATGTATCATACACTAAAAGAAAGAAGTCAACATGCATTATTCAATTGGTTTAAAATTTCCAAGCATGTCGGAGTGTTGGAGGAAGTTGGAAAGGTGATCTATTACATTTTGTTCTGGGATGGGTTTGTCTTCATAGCCTTCCTTTTGCGTGCTGCCCATGGCCTCTTGGAAGGAGAAATTGCAGACCATTATTGTATAGATGGCCTTGTTTACTTCTTGTGTTTTCTTTTGTGCCTTAATTTAGGAGGATATATTGCCCTCCATCTCTTTTGTAGTCTCTCTCTCTCTCTCTCTCTCTCTCTCTCTCTTTTTCTATCTGAAAGTTTTAGCTTACATACAATACACCTACTACTTATGGTTTGTTGGATTTTGATTGTTTGATATGACTGAAACATCCATTTTTAGATGCCCTGGTGTTCATACTGATTGCAGTGGGTTAATCCTTAGTACTAATGGAATTAATGTCTTGTTGGGGAAGGAGAACAGGTACAGGGAAGGTTTATGGCACCAGCAGAAGTGTTCTATTGTCTTTAAATTATAAACTTTTCCATACTCTTTTTGGTCGGTGAATAAAGCTTTTAAGTTCATATTTCTATTTACTTTAGCATGATTTCCTAGATATGTATTAGGTCTTTGGCTATGTTGAGACTTGGTGTGTTTATTTTGATCTAGATTTCTATTTGCTTGTTATTGAAATTTTGATTTGGATTTTAGATTTTCAAAGTCTTGCATAAATGCAAAGTGTAAAGAATCCAATCAACTCAAAAGTTTAAGCTCTTAGGTGAAGACCATATTAGGGGTTCTGTATCATATTTCTCTAACACGTTGCTTTACACAAGAACCCATCGGGCTTGGAAGGTGGGGAATGCACAAGTTCATCTACTTACGCTAAGAAACTTCAAACTCCATTATATTTAATTATTTATTAATAGAATAAGGGGCAGTGGAGATTGAACTCCTGACCACTTGGTTACAGAGACTTTGGTTCTGTGTAAAGAAAGCTTAAGTTGTTAGGTGAAGGCACATGAATGATTTTTATATTATCTTTAACACAAAGTAACTGAACCCTATGCTTTTGCAATCTTATTGACATAACCTCTAATAATATGATGAATGGTATGCTTCCTGCCCTGCTTGGTAGATTAGTTTCTCTATTTTAAGGTTTCAGGAGTAAAAATGCTGTTGCTGAATTCTGGTGCTTTTGGCTTGTGTGTAATTTGATAGTCGTTAGCCAGAGATCCTTGCATGCAAAGTTCATGGGTATTTTAGGGGTTTTCTTCATTGTTCATTCATGCAAAGGGACCAGAGAGAATCTTTTGAGCTGATAATACTTTATTCTGAATAAAAGAAGAAAATATTGGTATAGAGATTTTGAACAAAGGTTTTCTTATCTGTTCTTTTTGCTAATGTTTTTATTTGCTTTAGGAGGACTTTGATTCTCCTGTTATTTCTGTTCTGTCTCTCTTTCTCTATGTTCACATATTCTTCTTTTATAGAAAAAATCATGGCATGTATGCATTCATGCTTGTCTGTCTATATTTTAGTTGTAATGCTATCCATAATGCTTTTTAAGCTTATCCTTTATTTCTCTGTTAATGAAATTATGTATTGCAATACTTTGGCTTTACATTTCTTATTGTCTAGAAGTTAGTTACAGGAAACACATTGCATTTTTGTGCAATTTAGCATCTACTGCTAAATATCAATCTTTCGGACGAGCTGGACTTATGGGCCTTGCTGAATGCATTGCTTCAGCTGCTACTGGAATTGGAATACTTAAGCATGCCAGGACAGAATCATCTAAAGGCACTTCTCCAGTGGAATTTGTTTCTGGAATGGAAAATCAAACTGACAAAAAAGAATTACTGGATGTTTTTAGATATGTTGTTGAGAGCAGCAAACAACATTTCAATCCCAGTTACCGTCTTCAAGGTTTTTAATTTAGTCCGCTTGGATTATGTTATTTTTAATATTAATATTCATTTGATTATTTATAAATTTAGGAGCCGTATTAAAAGTCAACTTATACCTTGATTATGGTTACAGTTTGTGGCAAAATTCTGGAGGCTGCTGTTTCTGTTGTGTGTACATATGATATTCCTCTTGAAATTCTTTTACTTTTCATTTCAGCAATGCCAAGGGAATTTACAGATTATGGTGGTAAGTGAAATATCTAATGTTTAGTGCTTTTTAACAGTCTAACATTAGTCATGAACTTGCATCTCTATACTATTTTTAACTGTGTAAACTGTATAAAAAGAAATAATGCTAAAAGCCTCATTTTTTCTTTAATTGCATACGCACTGAAAACCAATAAACCCACATTTTCATCATGTTGTTCATATCTTCTGATCCAAAGAAACTGGATGAGAGAAATATCAAATACTATCCATTTTCCATCCTGAGTTAACAACTGGACATCTTTTATAAATTCACACTTTTTTTTGGTAAACAAATTTCTCCCTGCTTGCCAGCTCATTTTTTTGAAAGTTATCTACTCTAGTGGCAACATCATATCACATAAGATCAAGCATTAACCCAATGAAGAAGCAGTTGTATACATGTTTCATAAAAGATGTTGGATAAATGCGCTGTCACAACACTGAACTGAACCACCGCATATGGTTCATATTCTTGTTTCTCGTGACTTGCTGAATGAATGTGTTCTCATGATTCATCTGTCTAGGATTCACACTAAATTATTACAAATGAGTTCATATATATCAAGTTTGACTGTTTTTTAATTTAATGTCAAAATTAGAAAGGGTTTAATGGAATGAAAGGAATGCAGACACACTGCAAATGTGGGATTCTGAGTAATTATCATTGCACGATTGGACCAACTTTCCCTTGTTAGATATCTACTAAAATCCTTTTTGATATTGTTCTTCCTTCCTGATATTTGTGTCACAATTTGAGTTGGGACTTGGGAGCATTACTAGTTACCGTGTGTGTTGAGATAAGAAATACTAGCAGCACACTATTTGACACACTTTATTTTTGGATGAAATCCCATGCTGCTCCCACTAATTAACCGAGTACCACTCTATTAGTGGGGCTAACATGTAATTTCATGAAATAATAATGAGTGTTGAAGAGTGTGTTGCTAGCATTTCTCTTGTTGGGATATCTACTAAAAATATGGCTGGAGATTGATTTTTTGTTACAATTGACTGCTCTCCCTAAAGTATTTTTCAAGCTTTTGTGTGTAGCCATTTCTTCAAGAAAATCTGATGATATGTGATTTTGAGTAGGTAATTTTGACTACACTCTTCCTCTTCCCCCCCAGGTCAATTAAGGGTGAATGTGCAAAGATGGCTTTCAGGTTGTGGTTACAAGGACAGCTGTGCCAATTGCTGTATGAATGAGATGAAGCTCTGGAAGAGTCTTTATGACTTCCCTCAAAATTTTGTCCGCAATCATCTTTCTATTGATGTTGCTCTTAATTATGATGATGAAGACTTGAGTGCATGGAATTTTGAAGCAAATAGATGGGCTAGAGTACTTTTCCTCGCAATCAAGGAGGAACATCTTATGGAACCCATTTTAATGGTTTGCTTTTGTCTTCTTCTGTAATTTCTTTAATTGCTTATTAACTCCCTGCAATATTGGGCAATTAATTAATTCTAGGAAAAGAAATAGAATCACCATTAATGGCTTGGGTTCTATATTAATTTTACTATACGGCAGTGGTAGAACAATTTTATAACTTGCAACTGATAATGCTAACCACAGTGCTATCCCTGTATCAATTCTCTGGTATATGAAGTCTAACAATAACAACGGATACCTGTTGTTGCAGTTCATTCAAGACAATGGCACTAATATCTTGAAACAAAATGATGATACAAAATACTTGGCAGTCAAATTCTTGATTCTTGCCTCGAGCTTGCTTCTTGAGCTTCATAGGACAAAGGAAAGAGTGATTGAGTATCATAATAAAGCCAGAACAGATATAGGGAATGGCTTCCCTGTAGTAGATGATGACCTGAATTTCACAGAATACGTCTCTGAGAAGCTTGTTGATAAATTTCTTTCTTTATTGGTATAATCTCTTATACCACTTTATGTTATGGTGTAGGAATCCAAATACCTTTTTATGATCCTTAAATGTTTATTGGACTGCAGGATGATCTGGTTCAGTTTGCAAACCAGTGTTGTTCTGTTTTATGGTCTGGTGTTGTTGCAGAGGACACTACACTGCCTGGTGCAGTGAAAGGAAAACTCGGAGGTCCTAGTCAGCGAAGGTTGTCAATTTCTGCTACAACTGCTGTATTGCAGGCGGTAGGTACCTTCTGCACTTTTATTATGGTTGGCTGATTGACTTTTCTACAGAATTCGTTACTAGAAAATTATTCATCGGAGGAGATACCCTAGTTTAGTAAAATTAGATCTAAAGCAGCGAACTACAGACATAATCTTATACAGAAAAGTGGTCAAGTATTCATGCATTCATTTTGTCAATCTTTGAAATTTCTTTTCTGATAGCTTTAACGTTTTACTTTATTCATCAGTGGACTCAGTCTAACAGAAGTCCTTGAATAGTTTGGGCACTCAATTAATTTCTATAGATAGAGCCAAGAAATCGTTAAGGAACCATCTTGGTAAAAGCTAAGCTGATAGGTGTATGGCAATAATATATATATATTAATAATTTTTAACTCACCCCTTGTTGTGAATATTCTTTGGGCTTGAAGCATGCCCCATTGTGCTGAATTTATCTTAATGAAATTGAGTAGCGAGGATCAAACTCATGACAGCTTGGTCAAAGAGGATTTAGTACTAAGTCAAGAACCGTTTCATCAAAAAGTCTAAGCTGTTAGGTGCAAGCTAAGGAATTGGTCTTTATCTGTAATAGAGGGAAAAATTTAGGTCTAAGTTTCTGTCCTGGAGTTATCTTTGGAACTTGCAGGGGTTTTGATTATGGTAATTTGTTTTTTCCTTTATAAAATATCATCATTGATGCCTCAAAGGATGTAGTATTGTACATGCCATATCATTATGAAGACCTACAATTTGATCCTGTTCTATTTCTATTTCTTTTCGAAGGACTGATTTGTTCTTTGCTCAAAGCATGATTTTTTCTGAGTTGATATAGTTAAATGTAAAAGAATACGTTGTGTATTGATCTGTGTCAGGGAGTTACAATATATAGAGATCCTAATGGGCTTAAGTGTAAGGCCCAAACCTAATCCAAACCTAATCCTAATACAGTCAGAATACAGTCAGACTATTTACGGATAAGACAGAATCCAATCATATCTAATCAAATCTAATCATATCATATCTAATATTCTAACACTCCCCCTCAAGCTGGTGCGTATATATTATGAGCACCAAGCTTGTTACAAATGTATTCAACCCGAGGACCTCTAAGAGCTTTAGTGAAAACATCTGCTAGTTGATTAGATGAGTTGACAAAAGCTGTCTTGATTTCTCCTGACTGAATCTTTTCCCGAATGAAGTGACAATCAATCTCTATATGTTTGGTCCTCTCATGAAAAACAGGATTAGAGGATATATGTAGCGCAGCTTGATTATCACAGATGAGTGTCATGGGTTGTTTCTGTTCACAAAGATGAAGCTCCTGAATCAACTGCTTTAACCAGATCAACTCACAGGTAGTATTTGCCATTGCACGATACTCAGCTTCTGCACTAGATCGGGAAACAACAGGTTGTTTCTTGCTTTTCCATGAGATTAAGTTTCCTCCGAAGAAGACACAATAACCAGAAGTAGAGCGTCTGTCCGAGGGTGATCCTGCCCAATCGGCATCTGAGTAACCACAAATTTCTGTATTTCCCTGATCCGAATACAACAAACCTTTTCCTGGTGCTCCTTTGATGTATCGGAGGATCCTCACAGCAGCATCCCAATGTGAATCACAAGGGGAATCAAGGAACTGACTGGCCGTACTGACAGCGAAAGAAATATCTGGCCTAGTCACAGTAAGATAATTGAGCTTCCCAATCAGCCTTCGATAACGTCCAGGATCAGATAACGGCTCCCCCTGTCTGGGCAATAACTTAACATTAGGATCCATTGGTGTATCAACTGGCTTACACGCCAACATACCAGTCTCTTCTAGGATATCCAAGGCATACTTCCTTTGACAGATAGAAATGCCCTGTCTAGATTGTGCTACCTCAATCCCCAAGAAGTAACGCAGCTTCCCAAGGTCCTTTGTTTGAAATGCACTGAATAAATGTTGTTTTAACTGATGGATTCCGTCTTGATCACTCCCGGTGAGAATGATGTCATCAACATAGACTAACAAATAGATGCACTTATCAGGAGATGTGATCCTATAGAACACAGAGTGGTCAACTTTACTGCGAATTAGGCCAAACTCCTGAACAGCAGAACTGAAGCGACTGAACCATGCTCGAGGAGACTGCTTGAGACCATATAAGGATTTTCGAAGACGACACACCTTCCCAGGCTCCCCCTGAGCAACAAAACCAGGTGGTTGCTCCATGTAAACTTCTTCTTGTAAATCACCATGAAGAAAGGCATTTTTGATGTCAAGTTGAAGGAGTGGCCAGTGACGAACAGCAGCAAGGGCAAGAAATAGGCGGACGGACGCCATCTTAGCGACCGGAGAGAATGTATCGCTATAATCAAGGCCGAATATTTGAGTAAAACCCTTTGCAACTAGGCGGGCCTTGAGTCGATCAACATGGCCATCAGGTCCAACTTTCACAGTAAACACCCAGCGACAACCAACTGTAGACTTCTGTGGAGGAGCAGAAACAAGGTCCCAAGTGCCATTGGAATGAAGTGCAGTCATCTCATCAAGCATCGCTTGGCGCCACCCTGGATGGGAAAGTGCTTCACCTGTGGTCTTAGGAATAGAAATAGAAGAAAGACTAGAAACAAAGGTGAAATGAGGTGAAGAAAGGCGGTCATAGCTCAAAAAAGTATAAAGAGGATAAGGGTTACGAGTAGTACGAGTACCTTTTCTTTGAGCAATGGGAAGAGCCTCTGGTGAAGGATCCGGAGAGGAAGAAGCAACAGCAGTGGGCGATGAGTCAGCAAGAGTCGAGTCGACAGGAGGCATAGTTTTGCGACGCTGATAGGTGAGAAGTGGACGGTCCTCAGGTATAGAAGCAATAGGTTGCTCATTTGGAATAGAAGCACCTGCAGCTGGCAAAGGCAAGTTAAGAAAAGGGACAGGAAGAACATGATCAACCTGTGACAACTGAGATGGAATAGAATTAAAGGGTTGTTGATCAAGAAAAGTGACATCAGCGGAAACTAAGTAACGCTTAAGATCGGGAGAATAACAACGATAACCCTTTTGAAGACGAGAATAACCAAGAAAGATACACTGAAAGGCTTTGGATGTTAACTTATCCTTACCAGGAGTGAGATCATGAACAAAACAAGTACAACCAAAGACATGTGGAGTTAGAGGATAAAGAGGAACATCTGGAAGCAATAGGTTATGAGGAATGTCATTGTTGAGCACAGATGAGGGCATGCGATTGATGAGAAAACAAGAGATGAGTACAGCATCTGCCCAGAAGTGAAGGGGAACCTGCATATGAAGAAGAAGGGTACGTGCAGTTTCAATGAGATGTCTGTTTTTACGTTCAGCCACCCCATTTTGTTGTGGAGTGTGAGGACAAGTAGTTTGATGTAAAGTACCTTGTGTGGCCAAGAAATTAGAAAAATCAATAGAAACATATTCCTTAGCATTATCACTACGTAGAATATGAATAGAAACACCAAATTGAGTATGAATCTCAGTATAAAACTTTTTATAAATGGAAAATAACTCAGAACGATTTTTCATTAAATAGACCCAAGTGCAACGGGAAAAATCATCAATAAAGGTAACGAAATACCGAAAACCTAAAACAGACAAGGTACGACTTGGACCCCAGATATCTGAATGAACAAGAGAAAAAGGGGCATCAGCTCGTTTATTGACTCGATTGGCAAAAGAGGAACGTGTATGCTTCCCTTGTTGACATGACACACAATCTAAAGACTGAAGACCGGATAAAAGAGGAACCATTTTCTGCAACTTCGAAAGACTTGGATGACCGAGGCGACTGTGGATAAGTTGTGGAGATTCTGTGAGAGAGAGTGCCACTGAAGGACGAGGCACATCCAGATAGTAAAGCCCCCGTGACTCACGACCCACTCCAATCATTTCCCCCGTACCCGGATCCTGCACAGAAACAGAATGGTTAGAGAAAGTAATGGTGCAAGTGAGGGAATGGATCAACTTACTAATAGAAATTAAGTTATAAGGGATGCCAGGAATGTAATAAACAGATGTCAAGGCCAAGGTAGAGGTCGGACGAGCTTGTCCAATCCCACGAACTGGGGCTTTGGTTCCATCCGCAAGGGTAAAAGAAGGTAAATGATCAGAATAAGTAAGAGATGTAAAAAGTTCCTTATTACCACAGAGATGATCGGTAGCACCTGAGTCAAATATCCAAGTGCCAAGTGATGTAGAATGAGAAACACAAGCAACGGGATTACCAGTATATGGTTGAGACTGAGGAGAAGCTTTCTTGAGAAGAGTTTGGAGTGCAGCATAGTCCGCAAGTGAGAGAGAAACTGAACCAAATGATGCATTGTCTGACTGAGCTATATTCGCAGCAAGAGAGGTAGAATCCTCCGAGAGATCAGTGGACGCTGCTGCCATTTAAAAACAGAATATAAAAGCCGTAAACGAAGGCAAACGATATCCAATCAAGGAGAACCACGCGTCTAAAGTGAGACCCACAAAGAACCAAGCACAGATCCAGAAAGAGGAGAAGAAGGCGAGAAGTTCTGTCCAAGAACGGCCGGAAAAATCCACCGGAACAGTGCACACGCGCCGGTTGAAGGTGGCGCGTGAGAACCACGCGCAGAGGAGAAGAACGGCGCGTGGAGGCGCGTTGATGACGCGACGGTGGTCGGACCACCACAGAACTGGTCGCCGGGATGAGACGGTCCTGATCGCAGGTAGTCTGGGCTGAAAACTCGCCGGAACAGTGCTCTGGTGGCCGGAACAGTGACGAGCGGCGGTTGTTGGCGGCCGGAAGTGGTTCCGGTGGCCTGAACAGTGACGAGCGGCGGTTGTTGGCGGCGGGAAGTGGTTCTGACAGTTGAAGAAACAAGCCGGAGAGACACACGGCTTAGAGAGAAACTCGCCGGAAGAATGCACGGTAAAGTAGAAGAGAACACCTAAGCAGTGGGCTTAGGGTTTTAGCGGAAGCGGATCCCCAGAGCGAAAAAGCTCTGATACCAAGTTAAATGTAAAAGAATACGTTGTGTATTGATCTGTGTCAGGGAGTTACAATATATAGAGATCCTAATGGGCTTAAGTGTAAGGCCCAAACCTAATCCAAACCTAATCCTAATACAGTCAGAATACAGTCAGACTATTTACGGATAAGACAGAATCCAATCATATCTAATCAAATCTAATCATATCATATCTAATATTCTAACAGATATTATCACTTATCAGTTCATTCCTGTTCTCTTCATGTTCTACAGTTTTCTTTGATTAAACCACACCTTTTATGTACAACTTGTCTGATTTTCCTGTTTTTCCGAGCAGGTCATGTCAGTGAAGGCAATATCATTAATCTTGTTGTGGTGTAAACAAATTAAAAGAGATGCTCCACTTAACTCCGCTTTCACTTTTATGTGGCAGTTCTTCTGGAGGACTACTAGATCTCCACTCTCTATCTCAGAGGTTCCTAACATATTAGATGAATTATCTGCCATAAAAATTCTGTTTCTATCATGATTGAACATTGAAATGTGTGATGATGTATTTTTTGTTGTTGCTATGTATGTTTAATGCAGACGGGAGCAGAAATTTGTCTTGCAGCATATGAAGCGTTAGTTTCTGTTCTCAGAGTTTTAGCTTCTACTTGCTTTCCTCAATCTTTTTATCTCACCGAGGAGAATGAGCAATTGTTTTCAGAGACAGAAGGCAGGCCTCAGTTAGATTATATGTGTGTATCTTTCATTCAAAATATCAATGATCTCCTAGGAGCCGGAGTTTTGGCAAGAACTCGAAGGGCTGTTTTGTTGGATATAAAGGTGCCAATCTCACTTTGTCCCGAAACACATATCTTTATTGCCATAGCATCTGATATTTGGGTCGTGTTAAGCTGACTCTGAGTGAACCTTGCATATTCATTTCCTCTTTTGTTTCACTGTTTATTTGTTCTGGTCAGTCATTACCCCTGTGTCTTGGCATATCATCCTTCAAATTAATGGTCATAAAGCTTTAGCATAATGGTTAAGTTTAACTAATTATAGGATGTTAACTGATTAATTGAAAGATTTTAACTGATTTCTTACTGATTCAGTGGGCGTGCCTAGAATCTTTGTTGTCAATTCCTTCATATGCTCTCAAGAATGGGTTTCATTTGGAAGAAAACCATGCTTTTCATTCAGATGGCACTCTGAGATGTATCTTTGGTGATCTCGTCGAGAGGTAAGTATCTGGATGATCTTTTTCATCTGCATGTGTTCGTGTGTGAGCACTCGATTTTTGTTCGATTTGTTTGGTTGCAGTTAGGGTTACTTATGGATTAGACTATCAAACTAGGTGAATATCCAATTATGTGTCAAAACTATGGGTGTTCTTTATATTTTTGGCTATATCTTCTTTACCTTCCCACTGTCTGGTCTTATAGATGGAGCTTAGCTTACTCAAAGCTGTGTTTTGCAGCCTTCAAAATGCTGGAGAAAGTTCTGTTTTAACCATGCTGAGATCAGTCAGAATGTTATTAGAGCTAGTTACCAAAACGACGTCAAGTGCAGTTGTTTCCCATTGTCATATAATAGATGCGCAGGTTTACTTCATAGCTGGCTGTTTATTTTGTGTTCTATATGTTCCATTTACCATGTAGCCTTTTATTGAATGAATTCACGGCCTGCATATTTCCATGAAGCAAACTTGGAGGACTGATATTCAGGTGGGCAGTCAGCATTGTGCCCACATATTAAGTGGTGCTAGGTAGGATGCTGATAACCCCAGTTAGAGAAATATAAAATCATTAATGTGTCTTTAATCTAACAGCTTAAGTGTCGGGTTGAATTAATTGTTTTACATGGTATCAGAGCCTTTGTGACCGAGGGGTCATTCTCACCGCCTCTTCTATTAATAAATAATTAAATATTTAGGAGTTTCTTAGCACAGATAAGTGGGTCGGAGCGTTGTCCACCTTTTCAAGTCCAGGGCCCTTGTGTGAGTGGGCGTATTAGATAAATATAAAACCATTAATGTGCCCTTCATCTAATAACTTAAGTTGTTAGTTTGAATTGTTTGCTTTACAAACCCCAGGACCCTGATAATTGATAAGCTTGCCTTAGTTACTGGTTTTGTTAATTTACGTTTGTAATATGTTGTATGGCACCTGAAATTTCTTACATCTCAAGATGCTATTCTGTGAGGAATGAAAATTTCCTACAATTGTCAAAACTAATTGGAGCATATATGCTACTGTTTTTATTGGAATAGCATAGTCATTGAACATTGTTATCATTGATTGGGAATTTGGGGTCTGCAATTATGGAGGCATTTGGTGCCTAGATATGTTAGATGCTTGAGCAAGATGCCCATGTTCGGTATATAAACATGAAATTACCACATGCATTGCATATTCCCTCTCTTCATCTGAGATGCCCAGTGTATGTGGGCACATGAATGTGATGCCCTGCTAAGTGAAACAAGAGTATCAGCTTGCTTGGGAATTTAAGGTGATTAACAAGTTCCTTACCAAACATGTGAATTATGCCCACATAGCTTGACTTTCTTTAGTCTGCATGACTTTCATTGGTTGAATGGATTTGATCTTAGTTGATATTGATAACTGCTAATTTTGATCCTATAATAATGGTTGGGTAAAGCATTTTTGTGATTTAAATGATTTCTGTATTTTCCATCACATAGCTTCTAACTTAGTTTAGTTTAGTTTTTTCTTAGCATGCATGAAATTGCGAAAGTGTAGTTCACAATGGTTTGTGAATGATGAAATTTTCTTCCTCTCTTCACCGTACCAGCAATGCTCATTGATCTAATGAATTGCAATATTTGATTAGATGATGTGGAATTTGGTTCATTCCTCTTGGATATTGCATATAAGCTGCAATAAGCGAAGGGTTGCTTCAATTGCTGCTCTTTTGTCATCTGTTTTGCATCCTTTGGTATTTAATGATGAGAGCATGCATCAAACAGACAATGCACCTGGTCCTCTGAAATGGGTTTGTGTTTTCTTCAACTATTTTTCTGTTCCCATGTGTTTTCTCTGCTAATTTCTTACAAATAGTCACTGTTTTCTTTTAATGTCTGGCTTTCAGTTTATTGAAAATCTTCTCGTGGAAGGCACAAAGAGTCCTCGTACAATTCGTCTTGCAGCATTGCACTTAACAGGGTTATGGCTCTTGAATCCTAGGATCATAAAGTTTTACCTGAAGGAGCTCAAACTGCTATCTCTCTACGGTTCAGGTACCAAACATGTTTATTTGCTGTATCAGTATGTGATTTACTTGGATGCCTGTTGTTTTACTATATAAATAGCATTGTGAATTTGAGATTATCTCTTTCAGTTGCATTTGATGAGGATTTTGAAGCTGAACTAGCTGACAACAATGATGCAAGACTGGAGTTATCTTTACTGGCCAGAAACCCTGATCCTGAGCTGACTGAAGTGAGCAACTCAACATTTAAGTGATTTCCCTAATTTAATTTTCCGGCTTTCTACCCAAATTTCTTAAAAAATTAATGCATTTGATCTTAACATGATATGCTGATTGCTATTAATTGCAAATTTGTTAATTTTTTTTTTAAATTCTAAAAGCTTTTGAATTTCTAATAATTGGTCAATTCTCTTATCAGGCATTTATTAATACAGAGTTGTATGCACGTGTATCAGTTGCTGTTCTGTTTTACAAGTTGGCAGACTTGGCTAGTATGGTGGGATCACCAAATGAAGATGCAGATTGCATTGCGGCTCTAGAATCTGGCAAATCGTTTTTGCTAGAGCTTCTTGACTCTGTGGTAGTAAATTACTGTCAATTGATGTTCAGGAATAGATTCTATGCTAAATTATGCTGTTATTTTTTGCTACTAGAGTATTTTAAAGACAGAAATATGCATTGTGTTATATATTTGGGCTGCTGTGCTTCTATTCTTCCTGGTATTTTATAACCCAGATTTGCTTTGCTAGTCCTGCTGCTATCTGGCTTCAAATTTTCCAAGAATGTTTTAGGCTTACTTGAAATTATGAATAGGTTTTAAGATAATGTCATCTGGTTTTGAATAATATTGATATATGAAAAGAAAACTGAAAAGTAGCTGCACTGTTGCATGCAAGAAATACTCTGCAGGAAAAAGGAACCCTCAAGAACGTAAAAAGTTGTACGTCTACAGCGGAAATTTAACTGTGTTAAGAGATATATAAAGCTATTAATGTAGCCTCACTCATCAGCTTAAGCTTTTGGGTTGAATTGGTTCTTTACATAGTATAGAGCCTCAATGTTACGGTTCGATCCTCACCGCCCCCATTTAATTGATAATTAATTAAGTCTTGTGGAGTTTCTTAGCACTGGTAGGCTGAGCCTGATACATCATCCATCCTTCAAGCCCAATGAGCTCTCGTGTGAGGGGGTGTGTTAGATATATATAAAACCATTAATGCAGCCTCACTCATCAGTTTAAACTTTTGGATTGAATTGGTTCTTTACACTGTTCTAAGCTAGTAGTTGTTTACAAATCACTGTGACATTATAATGTTGACTGATTGCTGATACAAATTCAGAGAGCATGCTGACTCTAGGAGTATAAATGTTATCATTCTTAATTGATGTGGCTGCCACTATGCTATGCAAATTTTGGAATGTAATTTCTTGTATAATTTTCTTTGGTAATGCCGTATTTGATTCTATCCATGGCCTTTTTGGTGCAGGTTGTTCATTTATGACAAAGTTCTGATTATTATTTTGGAATGCTTATGTTGAATATAATATTTGTGAATGTAGGTTAATGACAAAGATCTTGCGAAGGAGTTATACAAAAAGTATAGTTCTGTGAGTATCCTTTATTGACCCTACACTTTAAGTTTTTGGGCTGAATTGGTTCTTTACAATATATTTTCGACGTGGGACTCTAAATCCAATACCTTACAATTGGATTGTAAAAATCTTCTAAAAAATATTGTGGAATTTCTTAGCACATTAGGTTTGCCTGTGCATTGTATACCCTTTAAGCTCAATGAGCTCTTGTATAAGGGGGCATGTTAGAAATATAATATAAAATATAAAACCATTTATCTGGCTTCACCAAACAGCTTAAACTTCTACTAGAGTTATTTGGTTGATATATTAGAGGAGTTCTTGACTCCTATACCAAGGTGTCTAGGAATCCTAATGGTTAGGTCAAAACTTGGTCGGATTATATTGTGTGATGTTAGGGGGAATGCTTTTTTTGAAAAGAAAGAAACCAGTGAGGATATATACAGGTTACCGTTACAATGGCTGAGGCTTAAGCTACAACAAAATTTAACACAAGTGAGTATGTGTAACAAAACCTGAAGATAAAATTCTTAGATTTTAGAAAGAGAGCTGAGAGAGAGAGAGAGAAGGGAGAAAGAGAAAGAACACTTCTGTAATGATTTACTGAATCTCAGACATAGACCAAAGGAGAGAATTCTCCTTCCAAGGGTTTTCCCTTCAACAAAGGGTTTCCCTTTTTACAACTGAGCCACTGCCCTGTTTTCTGAAACTAACAAATATCAATCTCCCTCTTCTACCCCTCTGTTATTTTAAGCTAAGTCCCTACTCTTAACAACTTTAACCACCCAACCATTTCCATAACTACTTTAACAACTATTCTCTGGGCCCCATCACTAAGTTAGAAGTATACGTACACAATGAGGGGGTGTGTCGAGATGTAAAATAAAACCATTCTTGTGTCTTCACCTAACAACTTAAACTTTTGTGAGAGATGGTTGATGACAATCATTATTAGCATTTAATTAATTATTTTAAATTTGTTGCATTAAATATTTATGTCTCCTCCATTCATCTAGAAGGTTGCCTGGAATAGAATAATTAGCAATGCATATATTGAACTAAAAAAAATAACTTTGATTGATTAAAAATTAAAATCTGTAAATGAAATGTCTACCTGTGAATAATTTTCCTTGACATCAGTGCAGATTATCATTTATAACAGATTCTCTTCTAAAATCACTTTCTACCTTTGTAAAGTTTTTCATTGTACTTGTTAACTTGGATCTGAAGCCTTTATTGTCATGATAATATCTCTCAGTGATATCTATAGTGGCGGATACCTTGCCCTTTGTTTCTCTGTGTAAATGGAATTATATCCCAATTAGCCTCGTGTCTAAGAGAGTATCTCTAAAGATTTGCTGCTTTCAATGGTTTAGATGTGGCGTGAAACTGGAAATTTCTTATTGTTACCCCAATTTTTGCTCATATCAATCTTTGCTATAACTTATTTTGTTCATTTTGTTACATTGATTTTACAGATTCATAGACGCAAAATACGGGCTTGGCAAATAATATGTGTCTTGTCACCATTTGTTAAGGAAGATATAGTTGCGAAAGTTGTAGATTACTTGTACATATCACTTAATGTAAGTAAATTTTGCATTATACCAATCTTTTAATGTTAATTTTCCTATCGAAGTATTTGATATATTGTGCATTTGATGCTACTGGAAGTATATATTTTGAACTCCTATAACATATGCATGATCTTCTCTTTTAAATTTCATGTAAATATTTTATTGGATCTTTTTACTTATGTTTTCATGTCTTCGCTTTGAATTTTATGACAATTACCATGTTTTGCTTCTCTCCTCTTTCTATGTGTTTGTTGATGATGCATGCTAGTCTTCTTGTTTGATTATATTTGCATTGCATTCTATTAAATAGAAATCACTTCTGACCATAAAAAGGAAAATGGCTTAAAGATATAAATTATTTTGTGTCCAGTTGCCGATTTCTATAAACCTAATTATCATTTCGACTCTTGCACTGCCATTTTTTTCTGTTTTCAACATGTATTCATTCTTCTATGATACTAAATGGCAATAATACATCTTTTGTATTCTTGCAGAGAAATAATTTACCTGCTGTTCGTCAATACTTAGAGACATTTGCAATCAACATTTACTTAAAGTTTCCATCACTTGTAAGACTTTCTTCTTCCCCCTTTTTCCTTCTGGCATTTCCTCTCTATATTTATGCCCCTATTCATTTGGAAGTTGGAACTAGTTTTTTTCTTTTTTTGGTTATACAATAGAAATAAAGAAGTACAAGAGCAGAGGATAAGATACCCTTGAAAAGGAAACGAAAAAACTCTTAAAACCAAAACAGAGAAGAAAGCACATCATCTAAGCATAGAACACTAGTCTCTCTGCATGTCTAGCTGAGAATCCCTTCTAAAAGCCATGGTTAAGCACCATATAGCCGCTTAAGACCACTTCTTCCCGTAACAGAGGCAATAGCAAAAAATTATCCTTTTAAGCTCCATATAATAGCAATACCAGATTTTCTGCTTTTGCTTTCTAGGAGAAGTGCCACTTTCTTGATGCATAAAACCACTTTATACTTTGGCCAAAAACCTCAAAAACTTGGAAGTGCTTGTTAAAACTAAAAAGCAGTTTTTTGTTTGTTTTACAGCATGGCCAAGAAAGCTGTATGTTGGTGTTGTTTACTTGAGATTTGGTTTCCTGGGCCTAAATAAATTATTTAAATGAAGTAAGGTTCATCCCTTGGCTTCTTGTACATTTTTTTCGGGGATGAGAAAAAATAATTTCTCTTTCAGTTTCCTTGTGTTTTCAGATTAATTTCACATAAAGTTGTAAGAAAATTATTGGCAGGTTAAACTTCTTGTAAATCTGTTACATACCCAATTCAGTGTCCACCTATTATGCAAAGTTTGTAATCTGTTTCCTGTCTCAGTTGTAATTCTCTTCTGTTCAACTTTTTGTAATGTCAAATTAACAGGTTAAAGAACAATTGGTCCCTATATTGCGCGATTATGACATGAGACCACAGGTAAATATTGTTTTCTATGACATGAGACCTCTGGTTTACTGTGTTGTATTGTTATCATGGACTGGCAGTTACAAGTTCTTCATTGGTTTGACGTAAAAAACACTTATTTCTTATCTTAATTTTTTTAGGTTAATATGTTTTGATACTTCGCAATTTTTTAATACCACATTCTTTAACATAAATTAGGGTTTTACAAATTACATACGTAATATTCTAAGCTGTTAGAACAATCATTCTGCTATATGCTTAAATATATCTCCTAATTTGTTAGGCTTAAAATGCAGGCACTATCTTCCTATGTATTCATAGCAGCTAATGTCATTCTCAATTCATCTAAAGATCTTCAGTCTAGGCATTTGGATGAATTGTTTCCTCCTCTAGTTCCATTGTTAACTTCACATCATCACAGCTTACGTGGTTTTACCCAGGTTAGCATTTATGGTGTTGATTGTTCTCTCTCTCTCTCTCTCTCTCTCTCTCTCTTTCATACTCAAATAAATATGCTTGAGTGTTTTGCAGTTACTAGCATATCAAATTCTGCATAAACTGTTTCCGCTGCTGAATTCTGGATCTTTTGAAATACTACCATTAGAGAAGAGGTGCTTTGTGGATTTGAAATTGTACCTTGAAAGGAATTCAGATTGTGCACGGTATGATTCTAATTTTTATTTCTCTTATTCTATACCTATATTCTATCATAATATTTTTCAATCTATAGTTGATGTACATAAACTTCCAATTTTATGACATTTGTAAAACTCTAAGTGTGTTTGTCATTGTTTGGTATGCTCTTCAATTATATTATGTTGCTGTAAGCTTAATTTTCCAATCTAGAGAAAATTAAGAAAAAAATATGAATAGGAATGACCAACTCATTGTTGTTAACCTTATAAGTAGATATATAACTTAATAGCTATTCTCTAACACTCCCCTTCAAGTTAGAGCATAGATGGTAATCATGCCTTACCTTTTACAAATATAATCTTTTCTATTCTTGTTGAGTGCTTTTGTGAAGAAGTCAACAAGTTGTCCTCAAAGCCTATGTTGAACCTTTTCACTCATAAAGCGACGATGTCTTAGTATGACCATTAATGAAAATGTCCCGGCAAACAATTATACGTATCAAGAACTAAAACTTCTCCTCCAAGTTCATCAAGAACAACATTTGGAAACTTCAAACCACTAGAAAACTAAGGAGGCCCAAAAATTTAATATTGAGGCTAGTGTGCATCATAACCACACTGTCGGTACGATTCATAATGGGAGGTTGGTAAAAATCACATCCAATTCATTACTAATTCATCATTGCATGACTCATTGGTAAGAAAGAAGTCACCAGAATGATCGTTAGTGGAAATAGGACATACATAGGGTCAAGTAGACACTTGAAAGTAAGAACTTGTATTGTATTCAATTGTGTATTAATCTAATACAAAGAGTTACAATATATAGAGACCCTAATGAGCTTAAGTGAGAAGCCCAGAATATTAACAGATAGGAAGTAATCTATTCAAATCTAATCATATCTAATCATATCTAATATTTTCTATTCTAATATTTCTAACACTCTCCCTCAAGCTGGTGCGTATATAACATAAGCTCCCAGCTTGTTACATATATGATCTATTCGGGGACCTCTAAGAGCCTTGGTGAAAACATCCGCAAGTTGATAACTGGAATTAACAAATGCTGAAAATTGAGTAGAAGCACCAACTAATTAGAAAATTAGAAAACATCTAATCATAAGAGCCTTGGTGTAATGTCCCACGTTTCTCCAAAAAATTAGAAAATTCAAGAGACACATATTCTTTTGCATTATCACCGCGCAAGATTTGAATAGAAGCACCAAATTGAGTATTTATTTCAGCACAAATTTTTTGATAAATTGAAAATAATTCAGAACAACTTTTCATTAAATAAACCCAAGTACAACGAGAGAAATCATCAATAAAGGTGACAAAATACTGAAAATCCAAAACAGACATTGTTCGACTCGGACCCCAAATGTCAGAATGAACAATAGAAAAGGGAGCATCAGCTCTTTTATTGACTCTATTAGCAAAGGAGGAGCGAGTGTGCTTTCCTTGCTGACAAGACTGACAATTTAAAGACTTAACACTGGATAAAAAAGGAACCATATGCTGAAGCTTGGAGAGGCTTGGATGACCCAGAGGACTGTGAATTAGCTCAGGAGACTCTGTGAGAGAACATGCTACTAGAGAAGGTGGTGCAATCAAATAGTGGAGACCTCGTGACTCAATGCCCGCTTCAATCGTCTTCCCCGTACCCGGATCCTGCATAGAAAAGGATTGCTTAGAGAAGGTAACAGTACATGAAAGAGAATGAATCAACTGGCGAACAGAGATTAAATTAAAAGGAATGTCAGGTATATAATAAACAGAGTTCAAAGCTAAAAAGGGAGTTGGGTTGCCTTCCCCAATTCCACGAGCAGGAGCTTTAGTGCCATCAACAAGAGTAACAGAGGGTAAGTTATTAGAATAAGAAAGTGAAGTGAAAAGATCCGTATTATCACAAAGGTGATGAGTGGCACCTGAGTCTATTATCCAGGGCCCAAGAGATGATTGAGAAAGACAAGCAACATGATTACCAGTGTCTTGAGTAGGATGCTGAGAGGAAACCTTCTTGAGAAGTGCCTCATAGTCGGAACTTGAAAGATTTACTGATCCGGTAGAAGGTGGTGTAACATCAGTCTGAGCAAAGTTGGCAGTCGGTGGTTTCAAGTGAGGGTACTTCCTGTTGCAGCGTTCTTCAAAATGTCCAAGATTCTGGCAATAATTGCAACGAGGCCTCTGTCTGCGGCCACCCTGTCCATGGCCACGTCCGCGACCGCGTCCACTGTTCCAATTGGAATCATTGGAACGAGAAAAGAATGCAGAGGAATCAGTAGCTGGCACATGTGTGGGAGCTGTTGATTTATCCTTAAGATTCAAAAGACGCTGGAAAGTGTGTGACAGGCTAGGAGTTTCAGCACTAGTTAGAATATTCTCACGAACACTTTCTAACTCCTCGGGAAGACCAGAGAGGGTTACGACCATAAAGAAGCGCTCTACCTGCTTCTTGTATGCAGAGGCATCTGCAGCATGAGGTAGCATAGCTAAGAATTCTTGCATCAAAGAACGAATCTTACCAGTATAAGTTTCCATTTGAGACTCTGGTGATTTGCGCAATTCCATGATCCCAGAAACAATGGAATAAAGCTGCTGAATGTCATTGGTGTAAAGGTTTTTAGCTTCCTCCCATACGTCATAGAAGGTCTCAAAGGAAATGAAAATGTCTATAATCGTCGGATCAATGGACTGCCAGAGGATACTTAGCAGTTGAGCATCAGTCTTTTCCCATTCAGGTGTCTGACCGGCAGACTTGGTTGTGAGATGTTTACCGTATCCCTGACCAGTAAACCATATTTTAATTGAGGTAGACTAGGTCTTGTAAGTAGCAGATCCGGTCAGTTTCATTGCTGTAATGGAGGGGGTAGTACTGGAGATGACGCTAGTGATGTTTTTGGATGCACTACCTAAGTTCTCCATCACAAAAAATATAAAAAAAAACAAAGAATGACAAGATAAAAGCAAAGAACTGCAAACTCACAAGAAATCACGCGAAAGTAAGCAAACAAAATGTCCAAACAGCAGATGACCCACAACAGAGGACCAAACAGAATGTCCAAACAGTGCTGGAAAGACATCCACAGCCAAACAAAATGTTTTTGGCTGATATCTTCTCAACGGACGAGACCCACGACGAACGGAGAACAGATCTGGAAAGATGAGGGAAGGGCGAGCCGTTTTGTGCTGGATTCACCGGAAAAGGACACCGGAACAGTGCTCATGCACTGGTGAGAGGCGACGCTTGAGCACCACGCGCAGTAATGGTCACCCGCGCGTGAGCTGGCCGCCGGTGATGGGCCTTCCACAGAGACAGTCGCCAAAGGGAGGGGAGCCTGTTCGCAGGTGTTCCGGTTGAGATCGTCGCCGGAAAAGTTTTCCGGTGACCTTGAACAGTAGAAAACGGCGGTTTCGGCCGCAAATGGAGGCTGATTTCTGACTAATTAAGGTTAAGGAGGCTGGTTTTTGATTTTTCAAGGTTAAGGATAAATATTTGGTGATTAATTAAGGGTTAGGGCTAAAAAAGGGTTGCCGGTATGATGCACGGCGAGAGAAGGGTTTTACGCGGAAGCTAGGTTTCCCAGAACACAAGCTCTGGTACCATGTAAAGAACCTTGGTTGGTATCAGAGCCTCGTGTCCCGGGTTCAAACTTCTCCGCCCCCCCACTTTCTTTTGTGGAATTTCTTAGCACAGGTAGGCTGGGCCTGTTGAATCATCCACTCTTCAAGTCCAATGGGCTCTTGTGTGAGGGGGCGTGTTGAGATATATAGTCCCACATTGGTTGTATGAGCAACTAATGTGGAGTTTATAAGGCCTTGGGCACTCCGACCCTTTGAGCTAGCTTTTGGGGTGGTGTATCCCAAGGTTCTTTACATAGACAATGCCAAAGCATTAGAGACAAAATCGATGGCCAAAGCATGTCTAGGACAAAGGTTGGGGTCATAGTGCATATAGAACAAAGAATGCTAGGGCTAGACTGTATTTGGGACGAAGATCGGGGGGGCCATACATACACCTTGGAAATTGAAAGTTGGCATTGGAAAAGAGCCAATTGCACAAATAACACTACTGGATAGTAGGGGTGGTAAAACGTGTCGTGACGCACGGGTCGACACTGCATGAGATTGCATTTGGAGTGAAGATTGGGGCCATCCACCTAGGAAATTGAATAGTTGGCATTGAAAAGAGCCAGCTGCGCAGATAACACTACCAAATAGTAGGGGTCGCAAAATATGTTGTAACCCATGGGTCAACCCGCGACACGACATGTCAAAACGCGTATCATGTCGACTTTTGGGCTCAAACAGGTCGTGTTTGGGTTTTGTAAAATGACACGCATTATTGGTGTCATGTCACGGGCTGACCCGTGAGACTTGGGTGTCAACCTGGGAATTTTTTTGTCCAAAACAAAAAAATTAGTTGGAATTATGGTGATTTTGACACGTCCCACTGTAAGTCATGGGTCAACCCGCGTATTTCATTCATGTTTTCTTGCTATAGTCAAGTTCTTTTTTAGAAAAAATCATTTTTTCAATTTTTGCGTGTCAACCAGTGTGACCCGTGACTCACAGTTGTGTCCAAGTTTGAATTTTTGACTTAAACGAATACATATCGTGTTGGGGTTGGACGATTTCACACGCGGGTTTGACCTTGACTCGACATTAACCCTATCCATCCGCCGTTCGGACCGCTTTCTCACGACGATCCTATCTGTCCAAGACCTAGCCTCCATCTCCCTGCGACACACTCACACATCAAACAAAGTCGCGTCATCTTGTCTCTTCCAACGGTGCGTGACAGGCCTGTGACTTGGATAGACTTGGTCGCCCTCCGCTTCCGATTATGGATTTGAACTTTTCGTCTTGATTGGAGCCTGTTCCCATGTATTGTTCATGTACTCCTTATCCCGTGTGTTTGTTTGTCTTTTAGTGTGACTATGGCTAACTCCCAATCTAGTGGTGTGCCCTATGATGCTTGTAACGACCGACTTGGAAATTGAAGTCACCACCAATTTTAATTTAAA